AACCAAAGAAGGGATGAGTGAAATGTGTTCATGACACTGAAGCACCAAAAACAGTGTTCTTGATTGATACGCAGTAAACATAACAAAATACCAATAAAGTAATAAATATTATACATTTACATACATAGTTACATATGTCTACATAGGAATATGTATATATGTCTCATAAACAATAACAACACTAAGAAAATAAGACAAAAACATAAAAAAAATCTGCAAACGTAATGCAATCCAATATGGCTGCTACCTGATGATATCATAATATGCAAATTATGAGAGTGAATTTGTTCCTATCACAAAATTTGGCTCATACTGAAGATTTTTCTAATTTGCAATATTCCTCTATCTCTAACCAGATTTAAGCTACAAGCTCTTTAAATAGTGATATAAAAATTCATATTTCACTGAAAAAACTATGGCACCTAAAGGGTTAAGGATCACTATCCACTTCCCCTCATCAACTCTGCCCTCGACTCCATCCAAGGATCCCAGGTCTTCACCAAGCTCAACCTATGCAACGCTTACCACCTTGTCCGCATCAGAGAAGGAGATGAATGGAAAACGGCATTCAACGCCCCGAATGGCCATTACGAGTACCTTGTAATGCCATTTGGCCTCATCAACGCCCCTGCAGTGTTCCAAGCTCTGATCCATGACGTTCTTTGTGACATGGTGGGAAGTTTTGTTTTCGTCTACATCGATGATGTGCTTGTTTTCTCTCCAGACCTCGAAACTCACAAGATGCATGTTCAATCTGTCATCCTCCGGCTACTGCAAAATAACCTCTTCATTAAGCCCGAAAAGTGAGAGTTCCACAAAGACAACATATCCTTTCTTGGATTTATCATCACACCTGATCAAGTCTCCATGGATCCTGCCAAGTTGGAAGCTGTCACAGACTGGCCCACACCCACTGACAAGAAAAAGCTTCAATGCTTTCTTGGTTTTGCCAACTTTTACCCATGCTTCATCAAGGACTACAGCAAGATAGCCTCACCTCAAGCAAAGCCGGTTTCACATGGGATTCTGCTGCTAACCAAGCCTTCCTCAAACTCAAGAATCTGTTTACCACCGCTCTGGTACTCGACTCTCCTGATCCCTCACGTCAGTTCATCATGGAGATGGATGCCTCAGGGGTCGGGGTGGGTGCCATTCTGAGCCAACGCGGAGCTGACGACTAGATCCATCCTTGTGCCTTCTTCTCGAAGACACTCTCCCCAGCTGAGAGGAATTATGAGGTGGGTAACAGAGAACTGCTCGCAGTTAAACTCGTCCTTGAAGAATGGAGGCACTGGTTGGAAGGAGCCATCACCCCCTTCCTTGTCTGGACCGACCACAAAAACCTGGAATATCTGCAAACTGCCGAGCACCTCAAAACTCGACAAGCCAGGTGGGCCCTGTTCTTCAGTCATTTTAACTTCACCCTGTCCTACAGACCAGGTTCTAAAAACACCAAACCCGATGCCCTGTCACACATCATGGAAACCCAGTCCTCCAAGGTCATGCCTTTCACCGATTCCACCATCTTGCCTGAGGGGGTCCTGCTGGGTACTTTCCGCATTGCGCTGGAAGCTAAACTGCAGGAGACTAAACATCTCTACCTTGCCCCCTCTCAGTGCTCGGCAGATCGTCTCTACGTCCCTGACCACATGAGGACTGAGGTACTCTCATTTTGCCACTGCTCTCATTTGTTCTGTCACCCAGGTATCACCCGTACCATCAACTTGGTCAAGAGCAGATTTTGGTGGCCCACACTCTCTAAGGACACTCAGGACTTTGTTAAGCCTGCTCCATCTGCACCAGGGCTAAGTCATCTCATCGACCCCCTGCCGGCCTTCTCCGTCCTCTACCCATCTCACATCGACCATGTTCCAACATCAGTATGGATTTCATCACCGGCCTGCCTCCATCCAACACTTACAAATTCATCCTCACAGTCGTCGATCGCTTTTCGAAGATGGTCCACCTGGTACCACTCAAGAAGCGTCTTACCTCTTTCACATGGCAAACGTCTTGGCTCGCAAGGTTTGTCGCCTTCATGGCCTGCCCCAGGGCATAGCGTCTGATAGAGCTGAGGAAAATAATCAAATAATCGATGCATCGGGATGCGGACATAAACGATTCTGCATCGTAGAAGAGTACGCCATAATCGATTATACTGGGATGCTTTCTTAATTTGTTCCGGGTCTGCCGCTGAATATCTTTTTAATTTTTGACAGGGCAACGAAGGTGCTATTGATAAATTTACAGGAAGCGGCATCCTGACCAACAGCAAACTTACGGCCTCCATCATTTTCAATGGATATTTAAAAATTTGAGCATGTCTCTGTCACCCTATGAGCCTGTCGGAGAGCCCTTGCGCCATTGCATAATGGCGTTTTGTGTCTCCATACAGACAGAGAAGTACAAATCAGGCTTTAGTCGCTCAACCTTTTATTCTGCACACACACACACACACACACACACACACACACACACACACACACACACACACACACACACACACACACACACACAGCTGGCTGTGCTCCAGTAACACTGTGAATAAATCATAGTAAAAGGTTGTTGAATAATGCAGCAACAAGTCCAGACAGCAAATGTGTGTCTGTGTGAGTAAAGACAGTCCATTTATCTCAGAGGAAGTAACTGTTTCTGATTTGCCACAAAAACGTCTTTAACACTAGCGCACCTGCTGGCAATGGTTACGAGGACACTCTAATTGCAAAGCTTTAGGGCTGTTTGATCAAAATGCACACATATGGTGTTAGTAATGCCATTCACAGTGTTTTGTAGGCTCCTTTGTTGTTTTACTGTTGCTATTGCCTTCGGTTCTCATTATTTATCTCTAATTGTTTCATGAACTAATCATAGATATATTTGTATCAAGATACATGGGGGCATGTTGCAGATTCCAAGCAATGTAAAAACAAATCTGTTAAAGGTTGGTAAAGAATAGCAAACGCTTGCCTGTGTCATGGGCAGCATTAGTGTGCTGGTCGGGGAGCTGTTGGTCTGGTGTCTCCATACCCTTCACCAAGCTGGTTCCTGTCCTTTCTGGTAAGGATGTGAATCCCCACCGCTGAGGCCAATATGTTACCAACAATATGATATATTATTGTTAGGAGTCAGCTCTGGGGAAAGGCCTCTATCAGATTAGATTTGTGCTAATAGGATAAAAAAAAAAACATTTGAAGATCAAACAAATATTAAGACATTAAGAGAAAAAAAATTGTTTCAAAAGTAAAACTTACTATCTGAATCTACTTCTTAAAATGAGTAACAAAGTATGTTTCCTTTTTCTGTTTGCCTCTATTGTTTTTGTTATCAATTTCCTTTGTTTAATTCTTGCTGCACAGAGATTTGCTCTCACTACCAGATTTGCAGTTACACTTTCTGGCTTTCTCCTTTGCAATCCCTGAGTTTTTGGTTGCAATTCTGACACAACCCTTTTGGGTGGGTGGGACTTCTGAGAAGCCCTCTCCCATAGGACAGTGGTTTCTCTTGAGTGACAGTTCACTGATCCGGAAGTGATGTACCGTAAATCCTCTAATATTAGCCTGTATTTAATTAACTGCCGGGTATCATATTTTGGCCGGTGTCGGAGTCGGCGGAGGTGAATAATGGCCGTTTTTTTATTGTGGCCAGGTGGAAAGTGGTAACAAGCAAGTACGGGGGGCGGTTGTGTCATCGTCTCACTTTTGATTTGCCAGTGATAGACTGCAAGGGTAACTTTAACCGTGCGGAGACGAAGAGGAGGCAAAAATTTGATATCAAGTTCAAAGAGAACGTGCTGATTATGCTGCAGAACACTCTGGGGAGCAGTAGGGGTTGTATGAACTAGTCACTAGCCGACTTCACCGCTCTATAGTGACTTGTTATGCCTGTCATCGACTTGTTGCTGTCACATGATAATGACCGGCAAGATGCAGTCCTCGGAAAAGACAGCAGCCTGCTGTCAGCAGGTGACAAGCTCCTGCGCGTCGGGAGGCAACGCGCTGTGCCAGAGCGTCGGTACTGACACCCGCCGTAAAACGGACATTTAACCAAATTGTGACGTTTACTCTCTTGCAATTTAACCTTCCCCTCACCCCCATCCTAACCTTAACCAGCTTGCGCATGCAAAGCTCTGATTGTTGACGCGCTCCAGACATCTGCGTCCTGAGCACGGCCACAGTAACATTATCAAATCAGGTGTCGCCACCTCAAAAACTGATTTAACACGCGATCGTTCATGTCGGCTCATTTCCTTTTATGTTTTTTGTTTTATTATTCTTTTATTTGTGCCTGATGCATTTCGCTGCTGTGTGATTTAGCTACATCTGCAATGTGCATAGAATAAAATGTCAGTTCGTCTGCATGCGTCGGGGTAATTCTTTCTATTCTTTCTCCGTCAAAATAAACGGTCAAATACGGGAACTGTCCGGTCAACACAAGCCCTGCTTTTGACTGTTTTGTTTTCTTGTGAAAATTGTTGGAAAGAGATAAAATTTAACTTGATTAACACCAGAGCCAGTGCGCCGTTATCTCCGTGACGGTAAATGAGGGAAAAACAAATTGATCGGATCCTGCACGTCTTTTAACACATTGGTCAGGATTGACGCACTTTGTTTTCATTTAGTTGGTTAAAAAAAAGTCGGGCTCGGGTCAGAGAATCCTGAAAACCTTTTCGGACCGGGTCGGGCTGGGGCTCCACCCCCTCGGGCCGGACACGGGCTCAGATTTTAGGCCCGTGCAGGGCTCTAACTTGTAGTATACAACAAATTAGCTGAAAAAGTGTTTTAAATTAAAAGTAATTTAGGAAAGCCCCACCTGGAGGCGCTATTATTGAAAATGTGGTGTTTCTGTTATTCTACAGTTGGCCACTTGACAACATGTTGTTAAACCAATATGTAGCAGTTAGGAGCGTTGTGGTTGTTCATCTGAGGAAGTTGTTAATAAAAAATTACTAAAACTGGACCAGTGAATTATGAATTCATGAGTGTATGTTTTATTAAAAATATAAATAAATAAATAAATACATACAGTATCGATCCATCTGCTCTCCTCTTCACTTCTCGATGTGAGTGGTGATTGTAGTCCAATGCAGCAAGCAGTATCTGTGCCTCGTAAACAGGTGGGATGTAACTGAATCTTTTGCTTGCATACATTAGGAGATGGTTGTGAAACGCCTCCAAATTTGCTGTAGATCTAAAACAAGAATTTAACATTTAGAACAATTATATTATTATTCATAGCTATAATTAAATACAGTACCTTAATTTCAAATATTTTGGGACTTCTTTCAGCCAGCGTTCACTGAGAATGATGTCACTGAGGGCTTTGTGTGGAGTGGAGCCTTTCTGAATCCAGTCTTTCTCTCTGTCACTTAGTAAAGGATCATGCTGACAAGCATCCAGAGACCACTCATGTTCTCCAGTCACATGATGGAGTAGACCGATCCACATGTCCTTAAAGACATATGTGGCGATTACTTACATTCACTTTTTTATATGAAAATACAAATAATGTACTTACAAAAAACTCATAAGTGTTCGCCGACTTGCATCAAAACCAAAAATGGTTACAGATATCTTTGTTCCACTGTAATAAAACAAGTCTCCCCAGCCTTCACAGATTTCTGCACGAGCTGATTATCATTCCTTTTATTTTAATATGGAGTTTTCACGTAAGTAAGACCATAAAATCAGACGGTAATCTGTACACGTGGCCCACCCAGGTTAGCACAATGTCTTTCAGTGCTAATGGAAACGTAAGGTTTTGGATACGTTCCTGATCAATCACACCTAATTCTAACTGCTGAATCATCTCCTCAGACTTCTACAAGTGCTACATGAGCTGCTGATTACTCATTTTAATCAAACACGCAGCTCAGGAAAGTGTAAACATCTAATTCAGCATTCAAGATGCTAAATGAACCCCGCTAACGGGGAAGTTATAAACAAGAGCTTAAAACAATATACTGATGTGGCCTATAGTTAAACGCCACACTAATCATTAGCTCCCATATAAAAAAAAACTAAAACCCCCTTTCGTTAATCAAACTTCTTCCAAATATAGCATAAATAGTTCGACTAGCATCAATTCATGTCGACTTAGCATTCAAGCTAATGCTACATTAGCCAATAGGACACCAAGCATACAAAGCTTGTTTGCTCTATTACTTCTTTCAGTGAAAGAAAGATTTTAAGTAAATTTATCCGAAAAACAATAAATAACTTACCTGTCCAAAAGATACTTTGCCAACTCTTCATCCGTTTTCAGGCTGTGTAGATCACGAAAATCTCTCCATCGTTTAAAACAATCTCCAATGTAAATTCTACTCGACTGTCTTCAACGTCTTACAGCCACTTTTGATGAAGGGCTTTTAAACTTTTTAAATGTATTTTGAGTTGTGGAAGGCAGTCGAGGAATCGGTAATTTGGGGTTTTGTTGCTCCATGTTTCTGCAGTAAGCCAAGTGAGGCGCGTGACACTGTTGTGCACGCTGAGACCTGCTCGTGCTCGATGATTGACAGCTGCCCCCTGGTGGTAACGCAGTGCTATTGGTCAACGCGTTAGGCTTGCACGGGCTTGCAGAAATATTGGCTGAGCTCTACAGGGCAGGGGAGGGATTTAGGAGAAAATTGAAATATTAAAGATTATTTACTTTTTTTTAATAAAACTGGGTCAGATGGTCAAAATCAAACATTTTTAAAGTTATTCTACATTTAAATCTTTCAGACTGTGCCTTTAAGAAGCTGTACCAACTTGAGTCACTTAAAAATTGGAAACACCTAACTGTGGAAACCTAAGGTGACGCCTACAACGGTTACAGGATTGTGTGACATAACCTTGATGTATTTGATGTATTGAGTTATTTGCGTTAATGATAAGTTTCTGTATATTGTATATTTATTTTAAAAGGGGGTAAAATATGTCGTGTTCTTAACCACTAGGGGTCAGTAGAGGTCTGGTATGAGACCAACAGAAGAGAAGAAGAGAAGTGTTGCTAACATGTGCTTGTGCTCTAGCTCTAAGAACCTGTAATAAATGTAATAAAGTTCAGATGAAAATTGACTACTTTGTGCTCCTTACTATGGTGGTAATATGAAAATGAAATGTCATTTCTTCCACTGCATAATATGATTTTTGTTACACATACGCTTCCATACCTTACGACCTCTACACATGACACCCTGTCTGCTCACCATGAGGGGTGGGTGATTCTTCAGCGTGAGATATAGGAGGTGTGGAGTGAGAGTGTGTGAAGAGGGTCAAATGTGTGTTTCACTGTCAGTGCATGAGAGTTGACAGCCCTGTGGACAGAGGACCGGGTTCGTGGGTACAACCAAAACAAACATGGCATCAATAAAAGAGATCACTAACTGGCTATTTTAATATGCGTTTTCATTTTGTATGATTAGAATGTTCAAAACAGGATTGTTTATGTTGTGTTAACGCTGCTTACTGGTGGAGCTGAGGTGTGCCGTTTTGAGCAGGTGATTAATTGATACTCACACAGACTGAAACTCATAAGCCAAGGATAAAATAAAATATAAATAAAGACAAAAATAGAAATTATGAACTGCAGCTGCTCTGAATGGCTCACACAGTGGCTTGTGTGTCTGAATGTTATTATTTTAATAGTCTAATTTAACTGTAAATTTAAATATTAACTTTATCAATAAAACTGCTTATTTGGAGAAGGGACATTAACAATAGTATGTCATTTTACAACTTTTTGTTTGAATAATAAAAATGAGGGGAAATATTTTACACGTAGCCCCACCAATTTTCCTTTCATCAGCTGCCGCTGACCCCTAACAGTAGCAGTGGAACAGTCGGATAAAGAATAAGTGAAAGGTTGTGGCGCCACCTGGTGGACAAAAAACCAAACACTGTTTTGAATGGAGAAACCACAACAAAAGTAGATTTTTGTTGGAAAAGAGACAGGGAGCAGTAGGAAGCTGGTTACAGGTGTGTGTACAGCGGAGTGTAAAGCATAACAATGTTTCTTTCCTAAGATTGTGAAATGTTTGATTTATTTCCTTTATTACCTTTCATTACCATTGACTCGAGACAAGAACAAGGCAATTCAACAGACTTTATTAGACGAATAGAGCAATAAAGTAATGAAACAACCTAAGCCCAGAAGTTCTGGATGCATTGGGCAAATATCTAATGGCTCCACAGGGAATACCTTTTAATCTAAATGCAAAGAAAAATCTGGTGAATTAGTAAAATATTATTGGCAACTCATTAAGACCCTGAGTTCTTAAGACAGACTAGATGCAGAGCTCAGCCTCCTCCATGGAGATGCCAAGTTACAGGACATGTGAAGAAACAGGATTGCACCACAGGGTAATTTCTTTCTTTTCTGAAGTATCAACTTGATTTTGTCATAATCTATTAATTTGCTGTAGGCATCCACTGATACCAGCAATGTCCACTTCTCTGGTGCAGTAACTGAAGACACTTCTTCCTGAGGATGTTACAGTAACTTATCTTCATTATTGTTGCTGCAGCTTTTTCATTGTTTAATGGAGGCATAAAGTGGCCAAACATATGGGGAAAACAAACAAGGCTTTTAAAACAAGGAGACTGTATTACTTGTTTCTGTACATTATTTACTGTTGTTGTTGTTGCACTGATGCTTGTTTAGAGGGAGCCTGTCAAACCACCCTACATATGTGAATGTAAAGTCTGGCCATGACCCATAGACAAAGCTCAGTTGTGGGGCGGGTTGTCTTTAAACGGTCTCTACATGCTATTGGACAATTATGAACGTGAAGTACTCACTGCTACAGATGTCAGTGAACGGGGCAGTCCTTCATACACAGTTGAAGACGACGTGCATACATCCTTTTTCCAAATAAAGGACTTAAGTACCTCTATCTGCTCTTGACTCAAAGAGAAGCCTAAATAGTTCAAAGTTGATTTCAAAGCCGATCCAAACAAGTCGCTGTCATCTTTGTTGTTTTGTTCCGTTGCAGCTCTGGTGTTAATTCTGTCCATGAATCCTCTAGAGCTCTGATTGGCCCACCAAACCATCAAAGCGCTGTGATTGGCTCACCAAACTGACAAAACTGCTCTGGCCAGCTGATGCTCCTTTTGATTCTGATACAGTCTGTCTAGTCTTCTAGGCCAATTATCTCCAAGATGTGTGCAGCCAAGAGGCAGAATACAGTCCGTACCTCATCATCACAAGCGTCATTAGGTGTCCTTACTCATGGTTGGAGAACATGGCATAACACTGGGTGCAAATGATACTGTACATAAAAACGTAATTTAACTCCTGTTATAATGCCTAATGGGATGCATCCTAACCGTTCAACTGTGTAGTATGCTTGTTAATACAGTGTGGTATTTTTATGGTGTAAAAGGTGGCAGTTTTGACAGTCAAACCCAATCTTCAACCCATCCTTCAGATATGCATGATCATTTAGTCACAATACCAACATGTATTAACAGGAAAACAACAATATTAAATCTACATCTATTTTCATTCAATTTTGCGTGTTTGTTGAGTCGCCACCTTTAGGATGCCTTCAAGTGTCTCGCAGTAGCTGAAAGGATGTTATTTTGTCCCTTAGATTCCATAGAGGCCACGAAAGACCCGAACAGTTTCTATTTGCATTGTGAAAATAAAATCCAACTGCACAGTTGCACTTTTTAAAGCCTTAACAGAAACTATTGCATGTGCCTTGGTTATGGTTAAGACAATGCACACACAGCTATGTGTGGATGCAGCAGTAGTATGGTAAAATGGTCGGGTAAAAACATTCAATTACAGTGCTTTTGATGGCAGAACACATTCTACTAAAATACATTCGTGTAGAAAGGGGATGGAAAAGACTGAAAGAGTGGCCCAGAGGCCACATGAGCACATTTACCAGCAGGATTTAAACATCATCATGGCAAATACACATTTCTTACCTGCTTTCAAACATTATGAATAAGCGTCCTGATTGTTCTACTGTTCTGTAAACAACATCTCCGTTCTGAACAAACCTTCCACATGTGGGTCAGCAGTTCACTATGTTATTTTGCAGAAATCTTCTGGTATTTGTCTTCTTTGTCTTTAGTTCCTTGTATTTAGTGACAGTTCAACTCAGTCAGTGGTTGACTCCAGCAGGTCAGAACTTAAACTCAGCAGTCAGAAGGTTCTGTAGCTGACCGGTGGCTGAGTGAACAAGTCATCTGTATAGGTCAGCAGTTCCTGCACACTCAGTTCTGCAGACGTACTAAATAACTTACATCAGGAAAAATGTTACTCAAATATGATCGACCTGCACAGTATCTTGTCTTTAGTGATGTTGTCCATGAGTAAAGAAACACATTACATACAAATGTACTGTTGAATTTCATGCCCCCCCACCCCCACCCCTTGACTTGGTTTCACCCAGATTCAAACTTAACCAACAAAAGCAACAACAACAGTGGAATTAGTAACACCCTCTTCCCAATAGCTTTTCATTAGATTTACATATGAAAAATAAATTCTACAAATATCTGCTAAAATATGATATTTAGGTAATATTTCAGAGGAAGTAAGGTGGTGGATTTGGCCCACACTTAAACTTTCTAATGAGAATTAACAAGTCAGTTTTTTCAGTCAGAATTCTCCGTTGCTGTTTACAGTAAACTGTGCTACAGCCTGAACAACACTCTGTACTTGAATGTCCACTTCGGTAGATTACAGCCTATACTATTTTGCAAACTAACAGAAAATAATATCAATTCATGCCTAACCAGTGATCACATTATCAAAGATATTTACAAACACTGTGTGTGTGTGTGTGTGTGTGTGTGTGTGTGTGTATGTGTGTGTGTGTGTGTGTGTGTGTGTGTGTGTGTGTGTGTTCTCCATACACGGGTGGATTTTAGCAGTAGTGTTCTGCATAGCAACAGAACCATGGAACAAAAGGACAAATAAAGTAGACCAGTTGCAAATGGCTTTTTCACAGTAGAGTTGGTTTCTTTTGGTTATCTTAGAGAGAACCTATCAAAAATATTTATCAATAAATAAAAACTGCAAATGCATCAATCTGTTTTATTTAAGTAACATCAACTCAAACAGGTCCATGAACATCAACCATTCCACCTCGTCGGTACTTTTTGCGCTCACGCATGAACACATTTTAAAGACAGTTGAGTTATTTGTTTTTAAAATGCCAGAGTTGGGCGTGATTCTGTCCTGTCGTCATCACAGTGTGTTGCCCATGCTGCTGCTCACCAGCCCCTTAATGTTGGTGACAGGACGGACGTCATGGAGCTGCCTCCTTCGGTCAATAAACGTGACCAACCTTGATGTGTCTAGAGGTAACTTGGAATATTGACCTCCTTGGGTACCCCCACGACCCGCCCATGGATGTTGTAGACAAGAAGTAGCACTTGGTCTTTTCCTGGGATCCTGCTGAAGCACTGATGTCACAAAATCCCTTGCTGCCTGGCTCACATTGTGGAAATACTCCTCTGGGAAACAAAAGTCCAGGCGACAGATGTTGACACACGTTTCCTCTGGTGATTCATCCAGAAATGGAGATACCCCACTGAGCATCACGTAGGCTAACACACCCATGCTCCATAGGTCAGTGGCAACAGAGACTGGCGTACCTTGAACAAGTTCAGGGGCAGCAAACTCTGGGTTTCCTAACAGCAGGTGGACATATCGACGGTGAACGGATAGCTGTACCGCATCACCAAAGTCGATGAGTTTAACACACGGTGCCGAAGAACTGAGGTCCACCATGATGTTCTCAGGCTGCAAACACAGAAAAGTATTAGGATTCTGAATCAAACATTTAAACTATTCCTCGTCTTGACACAAAAACCTGGCATTACCTTTAGATCCAAGTGTGCCACTCGGCAGGTATGAAGGTGCTGAAGGGCTTCCAAAGTTTCTCTGATAAAAAAGGCCACCATCTCTTCCATCAATTCATCTTGAGCAACCAGATAGTCAAGCAAACGCCCACCCTCCAGTCTGAAAAACACACAAATGACAAAAAGATGCTGTTTCAATTTCACTGTTGGGTTTAAACAGCAATGGCCTGTTTTTGTGTACATTTGTATGTCTGTGTATGCTGTTTCTCTTGGAAACTCAATTTTCTAATTTTATTTGTTATTTTAATTGTTGAATGTTGCATTAATAGTCTGTTGCTCTTGTGCTTTTACCTTTTTATTAATGTTTTTCTTTCCTATTCTCTAAGTGTATGTGCTGCATTATCAAGTGAAATTCCTCGCTGTCAGATTAATAAAGTACCGGTATACTCTTTTCTATTGATATATCACCTTCTATAGTCCTAACCCCCCAAGATGCTTCACAGCATAACTATTACCATTACTAGGGTCATTCCTACACATGTACTGGGACTGTCCCAGTGTGATTGCTTTCTGGAGGAAAGTCTCTGTCTCTTGCTATTGCTTAAGGATATCTACACGCTTGGACTCTCTTCTCAACAAAGATAAATACTGTGGGCTGGTCTACCTGCAACTATGAAAATGTTGGCACTGAGATGGCAGCCATAAGTTGTCGTGGCAACAATGGGCAAACTCTATTATGACGAAGGAATAAGTCTGGATGCATGAAGTCAACGAAGGAATAAGTCTGGATGCATGAAGTCAACCAAAAGATGATAAATGTCAAAGAATTGCTGCAAAACAATATAATTTGACTTATTTGTTGATCTGGGACTGTCACACCTTCACTTGCATGCGTCTTTGTTTTACAGTGATGTAGTTTTGAAATCTGCAACGTCTAGACAGTAGGTTTGCCATGGTTTGGTATACGAGGGATCCAAGTGTTTGTAATTTCTGTGTTTACGTTCTTTTGCATTGTTGATGAGGGTGGCGGTGGCACAGAAGTTAGCTGCTCGCCCTATAATCGGAAGGTTGCAGGTTCGAGCCCTGCTCAGTTTGTCGCTGTCATTGTCTCCTTGGGCAAGACACTTAACCCCCCTTGTATGCTGGTGGTGGTCGGAGGGACGGGTAGCGCCAGTGCTCGGCAGCCTCGTCAGTGCGCCCCAGGGCAGCTGTGACTACATCGTAGCTCATCCCCGCCAGTGTGTGAATGTGTGTGTGAATGGATGAATGACTGATTCTGTTGTAAAGCGCCTTCGGGGTTACAGGACTCTAGAAGGTGCTATATCAAATACAGGCCAATTACCATTTGATATTCCTGATACTTTGTGTTGCACTCATTTCTCAATATGAAAACTCGTCTGAACTTGTGAACTTAAGTCATTGTGAAATGTCACCAACGCTGGCCCAAGTACTGCTCCAGTTCTAAGTACGCATTTTGGCAAGTTCGCTTCAAGTTCCTAGATGTGTTCTTGCTCCACCCGTTGTATTGGATGCTTCAACACATCCTTTTGTGGGGTTGGGAAAGCAAAGTATCCTGTAATGCATGTCACTTTTTGTGATGACGCAATAGAGTATGGTTCTGTTCTGCTGTCCTCATCATCCCAAACTTGGTGGAACAGACTTTCTGCTGTACTTGCCAAGAACATACTTGTCAAGTACACTAGAACGTACTATCGTCCTTGGGTATTGAGAACATTTTTCCTCTCCTGCTATTGAATTTTTACTTTCTTTAACATAGAAACTACTACTACTAGTTTAATCTGTTGGTCTGTTTATTTTATTGTGTCTGCTCTGTCTTCTCCATCCCCAGTGAGTCGTGGTGGATGGCTGCTTATACTGAGCCAGGATCCTCTGGAGGTTTCCTCCTGTTAAAAGGGAGTTTTCTTCTCCACTGTCGCTAAATGCTTGCTTAGTATGAGGATTGCTGTAAAGACTCCGACACGAGTCAGTGACTTGATGCAACCTGCTGGCTTTCCTTACACGCACGAGCATGCGCGCACGCACGCACGCACACACACACACACACACACACACACACACACACACACACACACACACACACACACACACACACACACACACACACACACACACACACACACATTTATGCCATTATATATATCATATATACCAAGTAGTTTCTATGGCTGCATACATTTCAATTTCTTAGTTGAGATTCTGTTTCTTAACAAAATAAACTTTGTTGTTTTTTCTGAGCGACTCTAATTAATTTGACAAATCAACTAGTAGTAAGACATTCTGTTAAAGAAATGTTTGAGTTCCACCCAAAAAATAAAGAAAAAAACATGAGCTTTAATAAAGCTCAGTTAACTCCATCAGACTCACAGATCCAAGACGAGCATCAGAGAAGTGGGAGACTCGTATGTGTCCAGCAGCGCCACCACCTGGTGGTTCTGCACGTGTTGGAGGATGTCTACCTCGTGTGCCACCTGCTCTTTCTTCTGCATTTTCTTACTCACAAATTTCACAGCAACCTGGAAAAAACACAGCTAGTGTGAAACATTATGGAAGCAAAAAATTAGAGACAATTATTTTCTTACAACAATGAAAAAGATATACTTGTTCACAAAGTAAGTTACAGTAACAGATTTTATGAATTGACTTTCTGGAAAAGCTGAGCTTCCTGAGATTCTTTGAATGTTGTTGTTATTTCTTTTCAACAAACAACATAAAACCCTGGTTGCTCCTAAATATTGGAGGGGTTCTAAAACAACATTTTTCAACAATTGAACCCTGTTCTTCAAGCATGAAAATAGCAGATGAAATACTTGGGCTCACTGAATGTTCTAGGAACCCTGATAAATGGCCAAATATAACCCCATGACAAAGCCTTTGGTTTGCTCAGACCACTTGGCCAGGACATGAATATTAAATGAGCGGATTGATGATTAACCATCTTACTCATATTGCTCTATAATGCTGCCTGATACTAGGAACTCTCTCATATACAGTATCCGGATAACATATGGATCTACATGGCAGTCATTCAAATCTGGATTTTTCCAGTAAATCCTGGAATGTTAAAGGTGTGAATGCTCCAACATTCCGTTGTTTTTTTCCTCCCATCCTACAAGAAATTTTGCAGTAGCTCAGACAACTGTTAGCAATACCTTGGGATTAGGGTTGTCACGGTAACCGGTATAGCGGTAAACCCCGGTAAAAAAGTTGACAATAAAAATAACCGTCCAGTTTTTAAAAAACTATATTATCTCGGTGGGTTTACCGTGGCCGCGGTTTCGGAGCGATGACCCTTACCAGCCACCGTCGCTTCAGCTGAAGTTCCCGCTGCGCGCACACGCACTTTTTAATTTGCAACGGCACCAAAACTTTGAAGCTGAAATAACGGCCGAAGGAGGCGACGGCAGCGCCCAGGACATCCATCAGCCCTCAAAGAAGACTAAATCGGAAGTATGGGCATATTTGGGATTTCTGAAAAATGCTGAGGGACAGTTAATAGAAGACGGCTATCCCGTTTGCAGAACGTGCAGGAAACAAGTGTCTGCAGAAGGCAGCAACACTTCAAATCTCATGGCACATCTGCGTGACGATCACCCACGTCTCCACAGCCAGTGCAAGGTAAGCTAACATTAGCATTTTAGCTGAAATGCATGACGTGAGGACTTTTGGTTGAGGGAGAATGCAACGAGTCACTATATACTGCAGCCGCAGCGCCCTCTGCCAGCATTTAAACCGTGTCCCGGACACCCTGTTGCTGGATGAAGCATCTTATTTGTTGATGATGAAGAGAAATATACAATTAGTTCCTTGTCATGGATTTGTTTACTTATTCAATGCCATTTATACTTGAACATTTGGATTTGATTACATAGTGTAGTAGTTATTTTAGTAATTTGTTTAAAGTGGATATTTATTTTAAATACATATTTTTAAGGTTGACTTGTATAGCGCTCAAGTCAAGTGTGGACTGGAGTTTTAGATTTTCATTTTGATAATGAAGAAAACAAGTATATGAGAAAACAAGTGGTGTTTCTTTGATTTGTTTACATATTGTTTATGTTTTGAATGTTTGGATTTGTATAATTTAAACCTGCACTGACTACTGTAACAAGTTCCAGAAAAATAAGCTATTTGTTCCTTTACTTGTGAAAAGTTTCACTTTTGCTAAGGCTTTGTGTTATTTTAGGTTTAATAAACACTGTTAAACCTTTTCAGAACTATTTCAGTTTGTGTAGAACAGGACTATCAATGCTTTCTGAACATATGCAACACCGTTTAAAAAATACCGCGATAATACCGAAAACCGTGATAATTTTGGTCACAATAACCGTGAGGTTAAATTTTCATACCGTGACAACCCTACTGACCACATATTATTGCTATCCCAAGTAGGGTTGTCACGGTATGAAAATTTAACCTCACGGTTATTGTGACCAAAATTATCACGGTTTTCGGTATTATCGCGGTATTTTTTAAACGGTGTTGCATATGTTCAGAAAGCATTGATAGTCCTGTTCTACACAAACTGAAATAGTTCTGAAAAGGTTTAACAGTGTTTATTAAACCTAAAATAACACAAAGCCTTAGCAAAAGTGAAACTTTTCACAAGTAAAGGAACAAATAGCTTATTTTTCTGGAACTTGTTACAGTAGTCAGTGCAGGTTTAAATTATACAAATCCAAACATTCAAAACATAAACAATATGTAAACAAATCAAAGAAACACCACTTGTTTTCTCATATACTTGTTTTCTTCATTATCAAAATGAAAATCTAAAACTCCAGTCCACACTTGACTTGAGCGCTATACAAGTCAACCTTAAAAATATGTATTTAAAATAAATATCCACTTTAAACAAATTACTAAAATAACTACTACACTATGTAATCAAATCCAAATGTTCAAGTATAAATGGCATTGAATAAGTAAACAAATCCATGACAAGGAACTAATTGTATATTTCTCTTCATCATCAACAAATAAGATGCTTCATCCAGCAACAGGGTGTCCGTGACACGGTTTAAATGCTGGCAGAGGACGCTGCGGCTGCAGTCTATAGTGACTCGTTGCATTCTCCCTCAACCAAAAGTCCTCACGTCATGCATTTCAGCTAAAATGCTAATGTTAGCTTACCTTGCACTGGCTGTGGAGACGTGGGTGATCGTCACGCAGATGTGCCATGAGATTTGAAGTGTTGCTGCCTTCTGCAGACACTTGTTTCCTGCACGTTCTGCAAACGGGATAGCCGTCTTCTATTAACTGTCCCTCAGCATTTTTCAGAAATCCCAAATATGCCCATACTTCCGATTTAGTCTTCTTTGAGGGCTGATGGATGTCCTGGGCGCTGCCGTCGCCTCCTTCGGCCGTTATTTCAGCTTCAAAGTTTTGGTGCCGTTGCAAATTAAAAAGTGCGTGTGCGCGCAGCGGGAACTTCAGCTGAAGCGACGGTGGCTGGTAAGGGTCATCGCTCCGAAACCGCGGCCACGGTAAACCCACCGAGATAATATAGTTTTTTAAAAACTGGACGGTTATTTTTATTGTCAACTTTTTTACCGGGGTTTACCGCTATACCGGTTACCGTGACAACCCTAGTGGTCAGCATCTTGCCATCGTTTATAAAATGCAGATTTTTAATCAAAGAAAAATGTAATCTTCACTTAATAAAATAAAACAACAGCTTATTTATTGAGTAAAAATATTCAATCTAATAAATAAAAATATAAAGTTATCTGCAAATTCCTGTGGTTTAAAAATCAAAGTAGAGAATCAGTAAAAAATTAATAAATAATAAAATAACCAGATGTTCATTCTGTGTCCTACCTCTATCCTTGTGAGCTTGTTGAAACATTTTCTCACCACAGAAAAACGGCCCCTGGTCAAACAGCAGAAAGACAAAGATGAACACCAACATTTTCAGTCTGTCAGATTTATTGGTGTAGTCTCAGAAAACTGGGTGGCTCAATCTGGTGCCACTCAGCTTTCTGTCAGATCTGTGCTGTGGTCTATCGTCCACCTGGTCCAAACAGTTCTTTCCTTCAGGAGTTTAGTGACTTTTTATCCTCCACGGTGAAGCTGTCCAGACTGGTGATTGTTGGTGACTTTAACATCCACGTTGACAATGCCTCAGACCACTTTTCCATGAGCTTCTCCAGCCTCATGGACCTTTTCAGTTTTACCCAGCATGTTTCTGGCCCCACACACACCAGGAGGCACACTCTGGACCTTGTTTTAACTCTGGGTTTAAATGCTGACAGTGTTTGCCCTGAGGACGTTTATGTTTCAGATCACCATTGCATTTTCTTTAACTTGTCAGTTTCTGCATCCCCACCTCCTGCTCGCCGTATGGTTAGCTCTCATTTTCTTAATGAGAGCACAGCTAGCAATTTTTCTGCTGCTTTTGATCCACCCTGTTCTTCTGATAACGACCCAGATTCCTTAACTTCTCAGTTTAACGAGATCAGTTCCTGCAGTGAACCCTACTCCCTGGTTTAATGACAGCCTTCGCAGCCTGAAGCGCCAATGCAGAAAAATTGAGCATTTGTGGAAGAAAACCCATCTCCAAGTCCATCTGCTGCACCTAAAGGATCTTCTGACATCCTTTAACTCTGCAGTCAGAGACGCCAGAGTTGTCTATTTCTCCAACCTGGTGTCCCGGAGCAAAGGGAACCCCAAGGTGCTGTTTAACACCATCAGCAGCATTGTCTCTCCTGCCTCTCCTACAGCCTCCATCCACTCTGTTGCAGACTGTGAGAACTCTCCGTCTTTCTTTGTAGACAAAGTCAATAAGATTAGATCTAGCATCTCTCCTTCAGCCTTATCGCTGCCTCTCCCGACTCCAACCAGGCCCATCATCCTAGATAGCTTTACTCCTGTTTCTTTGCCTGAGTTAACCAAACTAGTCAACTCTATGAAGACCTCTGCATGCCCCCTCGACATCTTACCCTCATCTTTGTTTAAAAGTTCTTTTCTGTCCATCGGTCCCAGCGTGCTCTCTATAATTAATGCTTCTCTGGTTTCTGGTCAGGTCCCTGCTTACTTTAAGAACGCTGGAATCCACCCGCTTCTTAAAAACCCTCTCTCCATAGCAGCTTCAGACCCATCTCTAAACTTCCGTTCATCTCCAAGATCTTGGAAAAGGTTGAGGCTAAACAACTCACAGCTGCTCTTGATGAACATAACATCTATGATAGCTTCCAGTCAGGTTTTCGTAGAGCTCATTCTACTGAAACAGCTCTTCTTAGGGTCTCTAATGACCTTCTGACTCACAGTGATGCAGGGGACTGTTCTGTTCTGGTCCTGCTGGACCTGACTGCAGCCTTTGACACTGTTGACCATCACCTGCTACTGGAGAGGCTGAGAGACTGGGTAGGCCTATCAGGATCTGCTCTGGAGTGGTGCTCCTCTTATCTGTCTAAGCGTTCCTTCTCTGTGGCCGTCTCCATGTGTCAGTCCTCCACCACCTCCCTTACCCATGGTGTCCCACAAGGTTCTGTGCTGGGACCTCTAATCTTCCTCCTCTATCTGCTTCTTATCCAGCACATCCTGAGCTCCTTCAAATGAATCTCCTACCATCTTTATGCAGATGACATCCAACTGTACATCTATTTTAAGTCCCATGAGATGTCTAAGCTGCAGCTGTTACACACCTGCTTAGCCTCTATCAAAACCTGGATGGCTGCAGCTGAATGAAGATAAGACTGAGATCCTCATCTGTGCCCCAGACAAGCTGGTTACGAAAGTCAAAGACTCTCTTGGTCAGCTTGCTTCTCACACCAAACCATCAGTCAGAAATCTTGGTGTGACCTTTGACTCAGCTCTCACCCTGGATTCTCTTGTCAGTTCGCAAAGGACCGGTCCCAGCAGACCCAAAACAGATACAGAAATAATAAAGGAGACAATAAGTTTGGCAGGTTTTACCTTCCTATTTCACAGATTTCTGAGAAAGTTGACTCAAAATGTTCCTTCCATTGGATTCCTGTTCCTTCATGTCCAGAATCTAGACAGACAAAGCAGAGACACATGAGATTGAGCCTGGAACAAGTACAAGATAATAAGTGCAGTAAACATTACATTAGCGCACAAAGTGTAAGATCTAATGTATTGTCTAACGTTGTCAACATGGTCAGACAGTGGCTAACCTTCTTGTGCATTGTGGCAGGTGAATGCCCTCACACCCAGTGTTTTAAGTGTGTGTTACTTACTGCTGCTGGATAATGTGACCATATTAGAGGGCTCAGAAGGTGGACTGACCCCCCAGTGGTTGGATGCTCGAACTCTGAACTGATAGTGACCTCCAGGAATGAGACAATCAATTTGCACACACTCCTCCCTGCTGCTGGCTGCCTGCTGCCAATGCAATGAGTCTGAGGGTGGAGGAATGGGAGGAAAAGGAGGTTCAGACTGTTAACAATGAAAATCAATTTTTAAGTGTTCACACCAACCTTCCAGTCTGTACTCCACAGTGTAATTGCTGATGGCACACTGAGCAGATAAAGCCAGTGGGGGCCAGTGGACCATTACCACAGTGCTGCTTGCCTCCTGAGCCACAGGCCTTCCCGGGGCTGCTGGAACACCTGCATCAATTCCACAGTCAGATATTTGCTACAGGTATGTATTATTCAGCTGTAGAACTGGAGAGGGGGGATTGCTTAATATTGGTGAAAAGCTCCTTTATAATCATTCACCTTGAACTTTGATGGAGGCAGATGAGGAGGCGGCACCATGGTCATTGACAGCAATGCAGGTGTAGATACCTGTATCTTGAGGCATCACATTACATATCTTCAGCAAGACGTCACCAGTGTCCCTGGACAGAAAGTAAAGCAGGATTTAAAGAAAGAATGTGAAGTAAAAATGGATCATCAGCTGCTGTCTGGGTTACCTGATGTCTATGGTGAAGCGACTGTGACTTGTCACCAGGTTTTGGTCAGGTCCCCTGAGACTGAGTGAGGGTTTGGGCCGCCCACAGACTTTACAGCAAAGGACAACAGTCTCTCCAAATGAACACACCACATCTGATAGTGGCACCAAGAACTCAGGAGCCACTGCACATAGAAAACACATGATTGTCTTTCATCCATTCTGCAACAGGTTTACCTAAAACACACACAGGAGACTGCCAGCTTTCACTGATCAATAGTTCCTCAATGAATGTCCCACAGTCAGTGCCTGGAATATTCTCTTGCTGGTATTCACTCATCCTCTGAGCTTCTAGTGTTTCTGATCTGAGCATGACATTTTCTCCTAAGGACATTTGTGTTGTGAGAAGTTTGAAATGATTTGACAACCTTCAGCACAACTTTCTAAATATTTTATGTTTAACATAACCTGCATGCAAACGAGGGAAATCATAATTTGTTCTTGTACATCCAATTATTGTTAATAAAGTTATAGATTTATGGTTCAAAATTCATACTACTATGGAGAAAATTGTTCATATCAGTCATTAAAAACTCATTTTAACTGACATTTTTGCCCATTGCAGCTGTAACTGTGGAAAGTCAGGCCATAGTTTAACTGTTTTCTGCAGTGAAACCCTGAAATGTCACACCAAAAAACTTCTTTTCCTATTTTCCCAAAACACTAAAATAGTTAATTATAGCCAAAAAAACAAAACAAAACAAAAAATTCTTTACGTGTATCGTTCATATATTATTTTAACTAATAAATTATAAGAAACTTTTGTTTTTTATGATATTTTGAATAATTTTCATCGATTCCTTAAGGGATTTTTAATGCATGTAGACTTCCTTTGTCTACATTCACCAACTGGAACAAAATCTGGTCTCAGCTAGAGATGATAATGATGCACCAGAAAGAACACATCTCACCTTCCTGGATGAAGTTTGGGTTGAGAATCTGTAAGAAAATGTTACAGTTTAGTTCATTTAAACACCTTTAATTACTTAAATATGAGATTATACATTAAGCAGTTGTCATACAAGTTTTAAGGTAAATTATTTTTTTTATAATTTACAGTGCAAATCATGTGTATACCAATCCATTTTCTGAACCCGCTTGTCCATGTATGGTCACGGGGGTGGGGTGGGTTGGGGCTGTTGCCTATATCCAACGGTCAATGGGCAAAAAGTTCAGACACACCTTCTCATACAATGTGTTGTCTTTATCATCATGACCATTGACTTTGGGAGTTTCTCACTGAAGGAATCAAAACTATGAATGAACACATGAGGAGTTATGCACTTAACCAAAAAACGTTAAATAACTGAAACATGTTTTATATTCTATTTCCTTTTTTTAAAAGCCACCCTTTGCTCTGATTACTGCTTTGCACACTCTTGATATTCTCTTGATGAGCTTCAAGAGGTAGTCACCTGAAAATATTTTCCACTAGTCTTGAAGGACTACCTCTTGATAGTGACCTGACTAATCAATTTTCAACAACATTTCAAGGATATTTCCAGAGATTAACAGTAAAAACTTCACTTTGTCACTTTAAGAAAGCCTGGAGAGTGAAGACATTGGTGGTTCTCGTAGTCATCGGGGCATTCGGGGCAGTAACCCCCAAACTGAGAGAGTGGCTAAAGCAGATCCCAGGAAAAACATCAGACATCTCAGTCCAGAGAGAGTAGGACAGAATGGGACTTAGGTTAGCAATGTTCATGAGATGGAAGAAAGATGTGCAAACAAGAGAACTGACATGAGAATCCAGGGTGAGAGCTGGGTCAAAGGTCACATCAAGATTCAGGACAGAGGGTTTGGTGTGAGAAGCAAGTTGACCAAGAGAGTCTCTGACTTTGGGAACCAGCTTGTCTGGGGCACAGATGAGGATCTCAGTCTTATCTTCAGAGGTCACCATAGAATTAACTAGTTTGGCTAGCTCAGGCCAAGAAACAGCAAAGCTATCTAGGATGACAGGCTGGGTTAGAGTCAGGAGAGGTTGAGATAAGGTTGAGGGAGAGATGCTAGATCTAACCTTATTGAGTTTGTCCACAAAGAGAGACAGAAAGTTTTTACAGTGGAGGCTGCAGGAGAGGCAGGAGAGACGATACAAGCAACAAGCTAGCTCAAAACATTTTTTCATGCCTTTGAACAATGTTCTAACATAGCATACTTATAAGCTATATATATAAAAAAAAAGAAAAAAATCAATGAAATTATTTTGTTGCATTTGTCTAAAAACCTCAGCCAGTAACAGCTCGGTCTGAAAACAGTTACTGGACCATCCAGGTGTCCATCCCACAGAAACACAGCACTTCCGCATTTAACTGGGTCCTCCTTTCAATACACGCTTGCATATTTTGCAACAGCAAACCACTGGTGTGAGAGGTTCTCTGCTCAATAACACCAGAGAAGGAGAAACAGCTGGCTGCTACCACTTCAACTTTAGGACAAATGACAGAGTCCCAAAAACAAAAACACCATTTGAAGTCACGGACAACAAAAGAGGTTTGGACCTAGAAAACTGCGACTGGTGTTTAGTCTCTCTTGTTTGCTGTGGCAATGCATGTTCCCATGTCAGAGGCACCTGGCATTGGGATGGTAGCCGATGGAAGGGGTTAGAGTTCTGTGACTGTGTTTGTATTGAAAGCTAGCTTGTTTTGCAGATTAGCTACAGGAGCTTGCTGGGGAGATTTGTAGCCAAGTGTGAAGCAGCTGAGATGAATACCAACACCTCTAACTCTGTGGGCATGGTCCAGAAAAGGGTGGATTGTCAACTTCAGGTTGGTTCAGAGGCTCAATCTCAAATGGCGGAATTTAGTATCACGGGGTCTTATTCGCATGTGAGGGAAGGAGGCAGCAGAATATGAACAGGCCAATCAGGGCACCATCTGCAGTGATGAGGACGCTGAACCAGAGGGTTGTGGTGAAGAGGGCAGTCTTCCTCCCAATCCTCACCTCTGGTCAGGAGCTTTGGATGATGACTGAAAGAACAAGACCACAACCAAAAACAGCCAAAATGGTTATCCTCAGTTTGCCGGGCTCAGCCTTAAAGATTGGTTGAAGATCTGGGACATTTGGGAGAGACTCAGAGTGAGGCCGCTGCTCCTTTATGTAGAGAAAAGAAATGGTTGAAATGGTTCCGGCATTGCTGAGGATGCTCCCTCACCTTCACACACAGGGAATGTTTTACAGGGGTGTTCTGCCATCAGGAGACGCCCGAGTCACCCCAGGACATTGTGGAGGTTTTATACATCTACGCTGGCCAGGGAATGCCAGGGGATCCTGCCGGTGGAGCTGGTGAAAATTGCTGGAAAAAGGGGAGGTTTGGGCCTCCCTGCTAGAGCTGCTAGCCCAACAATCCAGACTCGGGTAAGCAGGTGAAAATGGATAGGCCGATGTTTAATACATATTTCTTTAATGCCTCTGCAAACTGGGTCAACTTGTGTATCTAAAGGAGCTCTTACCTCCATACCCGTCTTTGGGTCGAGGTCATCACAGTCTGACTCATCTGAAGTATGAAGCTCCTATTGAAGAACAGAAGAAAAACAGCGTAGAAGAAAAGCAATGAAAACAAGGAGATGAAAATGAGAAATTTGCTTTTATGTGAACTGGGATGTTTCCCAAATGAAAACCCAAACTTTGGAGAAATAACTTTTTTCTCATCTTTTAGTGGATTTAGCTTTGTAGCATTTGTAACTTTTGAGCTCAAAGTCCATTGATTCTGTTTTATTTGAAGTCACGATTTAAAGGACAAAGCCAGTTCTGTGAATGTATTACTTACAGAAGTTATAAATAACTACTCAAAAGTCCAACAAGTAGCAGAACAAACAACTTATTGACATGATATAGTTAACAGCCTTCAGATTTAGCATTTTTATCTTTGCTTTTTGACATTGACAAGGACATCTCTTTCATTACAAGTTGGTGTAAAATACACAAAACCTTTATTTAAATACTCATTTTCCCCATATTCCATGTAGTCTATAGGGAGCTTAAGTCACACCCATATATCAGTGCAAACATGGGTCCCCGGAAAAACGAAAAAAAAAGAATGCAAGTCAATGGAGCTAGAAACGCTATTCTACCCGTTATGTGCCACGGATTTCACATATGACGTCCGTAAATTTTAAAGACGCATTTTGATACCAAGAACGCGCTTATTTTCCATTGGGAGAAAACATTATTTTAGGTTTTGCGTGAAAATGAGTCCAGGACTACAAATGCGCTTCACCAAAGTGACGTCACCGAACCAGACACGGAGAAAAACAGAAGAATAATGGCTGTAAGCTCTTCAAACTTCAACTCCTTCTTTCAAGAGGAAAGAACCACCATGAATCTGGCCATGTGGTAAGTAACTGCTATGCTAGCGGAGTGGAGATTCTGTGGTGATGTTACAAATGCGACATGCCGATATCTGATTTGTAGTCATGCTAATTATGAACTTTTACAAGCTGATAAATCTCAAAGTATGTGACTGGCGTGGTAGAAAATAGCTCTTTTAGCTCCATTGACTTGCATTCTTTATTTTCGTTCTTCCGGCGACCCATGAGCCGACTGGAAAGGGAGGAGACTTAGACTCCCTATATGGTTGTCTATAGTCCCAAATATAACACGATTAAAAAAATTGTTTCCATTATTTTTCAATCCAATCACAACAGAAAAAAGTAAACCTTTTCTAACCATAAATGATTAAAGTACTATCAACTGTATCTTTTGTCTCTGATGTAGAAAAACGGTTTATATATAAAAAAAATCTTTGCTATTAAAGTGACAGTGTGTATTTTTCCTGGCGATAGGGGACAGTAGATACCTAAACCATTACAAGCAAGCAGTATTTTTGTGTTGGAGTAAGACCTTACCAATGGATGCCTATTAGGGTCAATTGCACCATTTTGCACCATCAGCAGAAGAGATATTACTCAAACTGAAAACAAAAGCCAGCAACAGTAAATAAAAAAATTAACAATTTTTTATTAACCTTCGGCTGCATACATTTGAACAGCTAAGGTTAGGGACATGAGGGAAAAAAGCACAATATTGTTCAACTGACCAACTGCAACAAGTTGAGTCTCTAAAGTTTCAATTTCACACACTGTGAAAATCTTCATTCAATGTTTTGTGATCTTGCTTCAAAGGCACTATGAGGTTGGACGTATTAATCTTCCCCGGTTCTGTTCCACCACGGGAAACTTGTGCGTGACAAGTGTTGCACTGAGCCAACTTGTCTTTTTTGGACTTTAATGAAAAATACAGCCACATGGCCGACATTGTTCCTTGCTACTTTGCTAGCACACACTGTTCTGATCACGTGGACTTCGCATGCTGGATCTGGGCGCTGATGGATAGAATTGCTGGAATGGAATTTAAAGCGGAACGTCCTGCTAAAATCTGAGATTTTTGATGCAGTCTGATTTAATCCGATACAGTGTTTTTGGGTTGATTTCCAATATCAATATCGGAACGGGACATCCCTAGTTATTGCTCCTTCCAGACTGTTGCTCCCCGACTTCGGAACGATCTTACTTTATCCTTACGTAGTATTGACTGTCTGGTCAACTTCAAAAAGCAGCTGAAGATCTTGTTATTTTATAGCCGTTATTTTTTATTTTTTTTTTTTACAATTTTATGACTTTGTTCTTCAGATTTTAATTCATTTCATGATATTTGCAGTTTTTTTAAAGCATTTTGATTTCATGACTTTCTTCACCTCTCTGTGAAGCACTTTCTGATTCTCTCTCTGTGATGAATGCAATAGAAATAAAATTTACTTACTAAAGATTCAGCAGGGTGTTATATAACTGTGGCGGGTGAATAGTTCACACTTTCAGTTGTCCTGGCATCAATATATGCACCGAATTGGGAAGATGACTCCTTTTTCCCAGGTACCTGAGCTCTCATGACATTCATTACCTTATACTAGAGAAACTAACTGTATGCTCTCCTCACTGGACTGGAAGAATGACTCTTAATAAATAAGCTCAGTCAGTTTAAAATTTCTTGGATTCTTGTGGGGCGGTTGGTGTGTGTCGTTCTCAGAATTCTACTTTGAGGGTATACTTGTTTTCTTTTTCCTCTGCTCATAAAACGTTCTCCCAAATTGATCATTTTATTTGCAGATGCTAGAATTTTACATTTGGTGAAGGAATGTGACTATGGTGCCATTGCTGTCCCAGATCATAGTCCTCTCTATTCTGAGATTGCAACCTATGTACTTCCCACAGAAAAACAAATATCCTGCATTCTGGTGTGTTCACACAGGTTATTAAACACCTATTTTACCTACAGTAGGAAAACCTTAACTCAAAAACTATTTCTCATTTGTTTAAAGCCCAAATCACACTTTGCAATTTTTGTCCGTCTTTGCGAACTCCCTCATCCTGAGCAGAATCGTGACAAAAAAACGGTCAACGTCAGGGTGATTAGCATATATGTGCACCATGCTGTGTGACTGCCTCTGCAGCACCTTTTTGAGCCGTCTCACGACCAAATCAGCCTCAAAAAGTCTTCAAGCATTGCTGGAGAACCTACACTACGACTCCTGTCTACAATCGACCAATGAAAACACACCTTTGGGACGCCGCAGCAGCAAGGCTCCGCCTCTCTGAGCTTTGGTTTCAATTTATGTTTAAAATGCGGATTATAAACTACACACTAGTTTTTATTTCTGTCACTAGCCCAAGTTAAAAAGGAGCTATTCTCAAAATAATTAAACTAGCATTTTTAGACCATCAGATAAATTGTGAAAACCGTGATTCTGTGATCTATGAGAGCTGAGAGGAAATGAGCTCATGAACATAAAAAATAAAACACAAAACCATGAGATCCCTTTTCTGTTGGTGGAAATTTCATGGATTCAAATGAAAAGGACGGTTCAGTAGCGTTTTGTTGCAGAGGGAAAGGGGAAGCTTTGTGTAACAGCGGATGTGAGCTGTCACACGGAGCATAGCTGCGGAGCCGGAGACCGAATTCATGGCAAAACTAAACATAGGGCTTGTGATCACACGTGATTACGCAAAGCATTCTGGGGTGTGCGCGGACATGTTGGAAGCTTGACGAGTGTAAACAAGCCATGAAACAAACGGTGCTGTCGCAGAGAAGAAGCAGATTTGGGTGAAAGACAGTTTTAAACATTATAAAATCCCAAAAAGGATGCGGAATATACAGGGATATGTTAAAAAATAGACTTTGGGTACTGGTATGTGGACAAAATCAGCATTATAAATGGTTTTGATCCATTTGAATGACCCAAGACCGGAGTACCAATTATATGTTGTTGTCGCCGCAGTTCTGCATAACGGACATTTTCGGCTTGTTGGTTTTTCTACTAAAACAATCAAAACTGTCATCCCACAGAAGAAGTGTAGCAGGGAAAGTGGTGTTGTGTGTCAGTGCGGCCGCTTTAGCTTACTGGTACATGTGTGTGTAGCTTGTGTGTGTGTGTGTTGCATGTGCATGTCGCGGTTGAATGAAAGAAACGATGTATAAAAGACGTACACCATCTGTAACTTACCTGAATGAAAATACTCCAGGTGGTGACGTTTGATCGCCTTACAGCTGCGATCCAAGTGAGCCGACAAGACTTTATTAAGCTAGATATTTGGTCTCCGTGGTTTTGTCTCCAAGCAGGAAAATGGTGAAAAGTTAGTTTTCCACCTTTATGCTCCTGGCAATCACGTGTGTCACACCACAACACAGCAATGATTTACTAGAGTTGTGTAATGTAACCCATCAACTGAATAATAGACTAATTTAAGCCACAAGAACAAGCTTGAGTGTGCCGTTTACAGTAGTAATAAGCAACAAGTAGGATTCACACGCCTCCAACAGGGCGGATGCATCGGTGATGACGTCTCAATCACAAGCCCTATTGCAGCAATCTGTGACACTGAACTACAGAGAAGTAACAAACTTTGCTGTAGTTTAGTGGGTTCTTGTGTATAAAGGAGGAGAAGGATGAATGACCAGCTGACAGCTCAGCTGTTTAGCTGGAAGACGGGAAAAAGAGACCCGCAGCCGGAGTCTGACGCCAAAACGAGGGTTTTAAAAATGAAACTTCCTCTTTGAGATCTCCCTTTAGGCCTCTTCCCGGATGGGCCCGGGAAACCTCACCGAGGGCGTCCAGGAGGCAACCTAATCAGATTGACCGAGCTTCTCACCCTATCTCTAACGGAGAGCCCAGCCACTCTACGGATGAAACACATTTCGGCCGCTTGTATCCGCAATCTCGTTCTTTCGGTCACTACCCAAAGCTTGTGACCATAGGTGAGGGTAGGAACGTAGATCGACCGGTAAAGCTCTCTTCACCACGGCAGACCGGTACAACGCCCGCATCACTGCAGATGCAGCACCAATCGATAGGTGGTATCGATCTCGCACTCCAGCTTTCCCTCCTTCAATTATTGCATGGCACTCCAAACAGAATTTAGTGTTTTGTTTTGAATAACTATTCCCTTTGATGAGTGTGGATCTGGCTCACCAAAAATTCTCGCGAGGTCCTGGCCGGACACCTCGAGGCGGTGCTACCTACAATCATTCCACCTGACCAGACAGGGTTTGTGAAAGACAGACAATCCTTTTTCATTGTTAGATGTCTGTTGAATTAGAATTTGAACCCAAATTTATATCCTGGATAAATTTGCTATATTCATCCCTGCTGGCAGCAATCTGTAGTAACATTACCATTTCAGATTATTTTCACTTGAAGTGTGGAACTAGGCAGGGATGCCCATTGTCACCTCTTCTGTTTGCAGTTGTTATTGTGGCATTGGAGATGTTCCCCCAACCCCCGTTCGACTGTCAGGCGGGAGGGGTAGGAACGGCACTGGTGTGCATGCATTGTTCTGTTATATTGTAGGTTTGTGTGAAGACCCGCCAGCACCTGAATCCCCCACCTCATGCTTCAAGGTCATTTTGTTGAGTGGCACTCGGAACATTAGAGTAACCCTGTCCTAAATGAAATTAGCTTTATAGTCGTGATTTGGCGCTTTATAAATAAACAGAACTTTTTCCATGTGTAAAAAGCTTGACTAGAGGAGGCAGGGTGTTCTCGATCCTGGCCCCTAAGCTGTGAAATGACCTTCCACCTGAGGTCAGACAGGCACCTTTACTGCCAGTTTTTAAGAGTTGGATGAAGACTCGCTTTTATACTCTGGCATTACCCCAGCACACGGTTTAGCTATATTTTTAGATAATGAAGCTATCTGTGATCCTGTTTTATTCAGTTGTTTTATCTATTCATTTTGCTTTTATCTTTTGCTGTTGTGATCCTCTTTAGTAGATGGTGAGACAGTGAACACATGCATCACTGAATCGCCGCCTCTACCAACTTCTCCTGATCAGCTTGGATGTGGGACTAATTAACATCTGGAGAAGTGTGTGAAGCAGGATGGGATGGGTGGACAAAGGTGTCCAGTTTATAAAAGGGTTTGAGAAAGAATGAAAAGAAAGATGTAGGAGACAGTAATGACAACAACCATGTTTTCTAGAGACAGTGTCCATGAGAAAGATGTTGAGGTGACTGATGAGGATGGATAGGATCAGGAATTAGTCCATCAGAGGACAACTCTCCTGTTAATGTTTATAGATAAAGTCAGAGAGGACAGACTGAGATGCTTTGGACATGTCCAGATGAGAGCTGATGATGAAGGATGCTGAGGGTGGAGACACCAGACAAGAGGCTGAGCGGAAAGCCAAAGAGGAGATTCATGGATGTGGTGAAAGAGGATATGAAGTTAGTTGGCGTGAGGGTATAGGATGCAGAAGACAGGACTAAATGGAGACAGATGATTGGCAGTGGAGAAACCTAAAGGGACAAGCCCAGAGAGGAAGAAGAATACCATAACTCTTTAAAAAAGTAGAAAACAGTTTTGAGCTCGACATGCTGCCAGCTGAATGCCAGTAACTGGTTGGTTTAGGATGGTCTCCTAACAGAAAACACATAAACTTTAGTGTTAGTGTGTTCTGAGGAGCCCTGTCCTCTCAGGTGTGTTCAAAGTCACACCTGGAGTCTGGGTTAGTACAATGAGTGGCAGGATTGTTTTTGTGTCCTTCCTGGTTTACAAACCTTGGACCAAGTTCCATGAGACTGATGGATATCCTGGGGAGAAAACACCCTTGGCCACACTGTGACTATAAGCAAGGCCTTCCAGCGGTTTACTGTCAAGATTTTCACAACTCATCCTGGGATGGTGAGAGGCAGACTGTTTATGGCCAACGGACAGCTGAGGCTGGTGTGATCATCTTTCACAGTCAGACGGATTTGAACTGGTGTCTTTCCAGTCAAGTCCAAGTCAAAGACAGTCAAGTCCAAGTCGAGTCCAAGTTCTTAACTTTGAATTTTCAAGTCATAATCAAGTCATCTGTCCAATCCAACTTCTATTTAATGACAATGATAATACATAAATTCCAGAAATAAAGCTTCTTAAAGCTTCTTTTATTTGCTCAAACAAGCAGAAACTGCAGAGCTGCTGCATTTAGCAGAACAAGATCACACCCAGAACGAAGAATGATTCATGATTTTTGTCCATGTCGTGCCACTTTTGTGCTAAAATATCAAATATGCTCAAGTCATCATCAAGTCAACAGATGCAAGTCGATCCAAGTCGCAAGTCATTGGTGTTCAAGTCCGAGTCAAGTCGTAAGTCTTTATAGATTTTATCAAATCAAGTCAGAAGTCATTTTAATAATGACTGACGTCTGACTTGAGTCCAAGTCATGTGACTCGAGTCCACATCTCTGACACTATGTTCAGAGGCAAGTAAAGGTTACCTCTGTGGCTGTCAGTAAACAACAGGGAGGAGAACACCATGCTGACTGCTCCACTGATGCTGTGACTTGAGAGCTACACACATACTGAACTGTCTGTATACAGGTGGATGTTCAGGCCTTCCAACAACATACCGTACATCAGCTGGTTTTATTAGAGGATTAAAATGTTTGGATGAAACATTTTCTGTTTTGAGTTTACATGCAGAGGTACTTTAATTGGTTAGATATGTGTAACTTTGGTGAATATAGGTTGAGAACCACTGCGTGAGCCTGCTGGTCTGTTAGCACACGTTAGGAAGAAAAAAGAATGATGATGGGTTACAGCTTCAGTAGCCATCATTGGCCAGCCATACTTACTTTGGCCTTCTGGCTAGGTGCAGGTAAGGTCAATGGGAGAGGAGGGGTGGTGTCATCTTTGGGTTTATGGAAGAAGTAGTTCTCCTGACCCCTGACTCCTAGCGAGGAACCGTCCTTAGCTTCTAAACGCTTCCTGGCTCGTAATGTGTTCCACGACAGTGACTTCCTGTGCAGTGCAGGAACGAAAAACATCAGGCAGCCAATCAGAGCATCCCAGGGTGGTAGTTTAGTATGACGACAGAGGCAACAGCAACGGTCACAACACAACCATATCTGGTGGCTGGGAAGTTTATAAGTTCTGGTGTTCCTGTTGCCATGGAGGCAAGACCCTCAGTTAAAAGAGGAGGAGCTTCACTCGAGTTAAGAGGTAAACAAAAATTTACCAAAACCATGTGTCGACTGCAGGACATGTTTATAATCCCTTGTAAAAGCGCGCGCGCGCACGCGCACACACACACACACACACACACACACACACACACACACACACACACACACACACACACACACACACACACACACACACACACACACACACACACACACACACACACACACCTGTTCAGGGTTGGTAGAGCTGAACAGGAGTAACTGGGTTTACACTTGTACACAGACCACACTGAACAGATTGATTTCACCATTTTTCAACAGAAACACACTTTCATCAGCTGTGTTCATGTCTTTACTGTCCATCAGCCTGCTCCTTTTCTCTGTGTCCAAGAACTGTGTCACAGCAAGACATGTCCGTTCAGAGCTAAAATGTTGTAATGAATTTTACAGTACAGGTCCTTAACCTGTACAATGTATGGGGTACATTTTAGGACATCCTTATGCTCTACAGCATAAGACAGTTTGTTGGAACTCAAATGGCACATTCACATCTGGGTCAGCTCAGTCTAGCCCTGGTAGGAGTAGTTGTGTTTACATCTGTGTTATCTGTGCGTTGTCTACACTGAACAGACAAACCCGATGGCCAGCTTGGTGCTGAGCCAGCCCGATAGACCCACTACAGCCTGATTGGCCAGCTGACGTGCACACCTACCTACTCGTGGGAGCCTACGATTGGCAGTTAAAATCAGCCCGTTGCAGCTTCCTGCATGAACGATTTATTATCGGGCCCAATACCAATACTCGCACTTGAACCCTTACGCCCTTCGATTGCTCGTTCCCGGCCAGGGGTGCGAGTGCGAAGGGTGTCCCAATTTTTAAGTGCAGAAGTTGACCACGCCCCCATTGCACCCTTAATATGAACTTCACCCAAGTCCACAGCGATGCAGACCTCGGGCAAGGGTATTACCCAAAAGTCACTGCTGCAGGAGAAAAGGCTCAAGTTCATATTCTGAAAATATATATTTTCTAATGAAATTAGTTCATTTTAGGACGATTAGTTGATGCTCTGAATGTTTTACACAAAGCAGCAATGAAGGTACATGTATTTTGAATAACAGCTTTGTTGGTGGTTTGGAAGTTGTTAAAGGTTTTTGAACAAATTTTCAGCATCCCGGCATAATTTGCGATCGATGACATAATGCTCCCTGTCTCAGTTTGGCAATTATTTGCACACTTGTGTATACTACGCACTCGAACCCTACTGCGCACTTTCTCCAAGTGCACTTCGGTGAAGACTGCAGGGCGCAGTGCGAGTATTGAGATTGGACCTCAGTCTGGATGCAGTAGAGTAAACATCTCCTCTGACTGCAGCTCCAGCCGTAGCAGCACGGGGACTGGTCATCTGCTGTGAGAGGAGCCCACAACAGCACCACTGCTCAGAGTAGGAAGCTGTGTGCTTCATGTCAGAGTCTCCGAAAGCAGCACTGCTCACACCTGCTTTTGTTTGCCAACTTTTGGTGCTTAAGGGCACCACAGATTTCTCATGTATTTATTGCACCACCCACATGCTCTGAGACCTTCACGTTCCTGAGAATTCTGTGTAAACAAAACCTGCCCATGTGGGGGATGAGCTGACCCAACCAGGGACGCACCACACTCACCCAGATGTAAACAAGGCTAAAGTACCTGCTACATGGCCAAACACATCCCCATAACAAAGCCATATAATGGAAAGACCATCCTCGCCCACTTGGCCAGGACACAAATACCACATGAGGTATTTTGCTCATAGACCGGGAGAGATTGGGGTACATCCGGTTGACAGCAGGAATGGGTGATGTTTAGCACATACAAGGAAGTGTTTGGCCCTAATTTGAGTGTGTGTGTGTGTGTGTGTGTGTGTGTGTGTGGTGGTGGGGGGATTATTTGGCACAAACAATGATGTGCGCATGGCTCAGTTCAACTGAGAAAGGGGTGGGGGGTGGCACAGACAAGGATCACAAGCTGTGGAACTATCTGACATTTATTCAGTCCAGATATTCCCAATACATCAGGAAATGTTACATGTGAGCTCCAACATTCATTGTGGTTTTTCCCTTGTCCAACATGGATGATAGCATTAGCTCGGGCTAGCATTTTTCTGTGGTTAGCATTACTGTGACCCCAAGGCAAAATTTTATATATTAGAAGAGAGGACAAGGAAACTGCTAATGTCAAGTTACAGCCAAATCATCGTCCAAAACTTTACCAATAAGCCAAATTAACAGAACGTAGATTCAGACTGCTAACATTTACAGCTGTGTGGATTTCACACTCTAACTGTAAGGTAAGATACTGTACATGTAGAGAAAGTAAGAGAACAGGGAGAGCTGGTGTTGTTTGATGGCTGAAGCTTCATTTCTGTCACTGTTGCATATTGATGATGTATTTGGACAACAATTTGGCCATGATCTGACAATGGCCCCACCTGCAGGATGCTTCCCTTTGAGGCACTTTTATCTGACAGCATTTGAGTGTTTTTTTTTTTTAAATTGGTTCACTATCCATGACATGAGGCTGAGACCAAACTCTCAGACACTGGGCACCTATGAGGCGCCTCAAAAGGGCTTGGTATTTCACTGGAGCCTGAACAGTTCAGGACTTTCTGATGCAGATGCAGAAAAGCTGGTCCAGAACAGAACTGAGCCTCCTTCGTGCTCCACTGTAGGTCCAGTGTTCATAGAGCTGATGTGATTTACCAAAAGCTCCACTTTTATCTCATCATATCTAAGGATGCTTTCCATGAAGGTCCAGTCCACATCAGCTTGAACATGGTAACTTACAGTCAGGGTCTTCTCCAATGAAGCCCAGAAAGTGACAAACCATTGGGTTGAGATTAAATTGTTTTAGACAGTTTACTTGCCTCTTTTCTACCAGATCACTATTCATCTGGTCAATGTGGTGTCAGCATTCACGAAGGTTCTCCACATTCTGTTAACTTCACATGAATACAAAGCTGTAGGTGATCTTCTAGCCTTTCCCTGTAACATGCTGGTCAATAATAGTCTCTAATCTCCTGAGACAACTGTGTCCTCAGCTTTCTGTGGTGCATGTCCAGTGTGGTACACACCCTGATACCAAACAGCACTGTGACTACCTTTCAGCCCTCAGGCAGACTGACTGATGACCAGACTGAAGACATCTGTTAGGCTGACTCCAGGACACGCCTGTGCCATTACATTGGTAATGGTTAATATCTTTTTTTTGTTGTAATAATTCTGTTGAACCAGAAGTGAATTTCATTAGTTGATTTGCAATAAATATTTAATTACATTAGTCCAGGGTATCTGCAGGTTTAAGGGAGCCAAATTTAAGACTTTTTAAGACCTTTTTCAAGGCCACTTTGACCAAATTTAAGCAATTTTTAAAATTAAATTTAAGCTATAACTTCCAGCTATTGCCTGGAACCTATGCTAGCCACGTCGCAAACGTGGGATTAGCCATCCAGTTACCATTAAACTTGCCCTTCCCCATGACGCAAGCTCCCACTAGCTTAACCAGCTAATGTGCTCATCTAAAAATAGCCCCTTTTCACAACCAACTGCATGTGTACGGTTCCGCTTACGCCAATATCATACACAAAAAATGCTGAACTAAATAGAATTCAAAAAATTTTATAGAAATAAAAGAATTTTGTTTATTGAGTCTTTGGTAATTTAAGACCTTTGGAAACTGTATTTAAGGATTATTTGCCATTTTTAAGGATTTCTAAGGCCTTAAATTTGGAAAAGCAAATTTAAGACTTTTTAAGGACCCACGGATACCCTGTAGTCAGTTTCAGGTTATTTCAGTGTCTATTGTGTGTTTTTCTTTCTCTGAGGGAGAAGAGAACCAACTATTTTACCCACTAACATAACTAATGTACGCTGTGAGCTATTGAAATAAGAAATACAAAGTGAATGACCAACGAGGGGTGTTTGGTGTGATTTGAGGTGAATCATTTATGGCTGATAGCACAAAAATAATGTCCAAGAGTTCCTAAAAGAGAAAGCACAGAGTGCAAAGTTAACAGGACACATATGAAACACTGCAGGCTGAAGAGTTATACTTCAAAATACCTAAATATTCTACCTTGAAAATGTCCTCCCGCAAAACAGGGGTTTTATGCTTTTTAATGTTAAAAGCTCTTAAAACGAGTATCTTCTGTGGAGCGCTAAACCTTTGGTGTTAGTACAAACTCCAGAAAAACAAAACTAAACAAAAACACTCAAATCAAACCAAAAATCTCCAAAATCTTAAACACAAAAAGGTGAAATGAACCAGAGGGGAGAGGCTCTGACTGAACCTTCAAACACTAACATGTTTATTTAGTAACTTCCTGTATTGTGTGCCAGTAGAGGTTGTCAACAAGAAAATTTTCTCTTTCAAAATAAAGGTCTTGATGTTTTCATACCTAAGATGAGTACATAAAGTCAGACAGCTCTTCGGTTTGCTCCTGTAATTTATTTACAAATATTAAAAACTACAGCCATCCTCATCCCGATGCAAAACTAAACATGTTCAACTTCACACTGCTGCACTAACTCATGCTCAAGTCCAAAGGGTTTATTTTACATATTTAAAATACATTTAAAATTCTTATCAGACTACAACAGAACAATGCTGACCATTGCCTTTGAATCAAACACATTGCACAGCCTGAATTCTTTCATATTTTATCTTCATAAATAGTGCAAATGGCATTTTTTTAAACAGGAATGTTCTAGAGCTTCAGTCAGATTTAACAAATTAATTCTGTACATAAAGAAATCAAATCAAAGAGGAAATCAATCCAACTTTGTTAAAGAAATGAAATAATAATTAACAAGGTAGGAAAACAATAACGAGGAGAATCAACACAAATGTATACAGATTGCCACAGACAACAACATCAATCTTCTCCTCTACAGAGAACAGAATCCACCCGAAGGCCAAAGTAAGACTTTGTGTCAACAAACAAACAAACAAAAACAGTAACATAAACAAAAGTACAAAAAAGGGAATCAGGGTGTTAGAACTGAAACAACAGTCTGGTTTTAGCTCCACATGGACACTTCAGCTACACCAGCTTCTATCCACACTACTTGTGTGGGAAAACTGTGCATCGGTGTGAACTTTAGTTAGCGCAAAGCCACTGTTGCATGGTTGTCATGGAGACAACAAAGGCTCAGAGTAAATGTCCCTGCAGCAACCTGACAGACAGTGAGACAGGAGGGGAGTGCTGTGTGGTACCTTACTACAAAACCTCCACGGAGGGGGCACTAGGGGTTGGGTAGGAGGCAAGGGTGCAGGCTGTGAGGAGTTAGGAGCTGATTCATGAAAACAACACAAACAGTCAGAAACAGGCAGACGGTGCTTTGACACTCATCCAGTCCAGTCCGGGTGGAGGGTAGGGGTGGGGGGACTTACTTGATGTTGTTGGCATCTGCCACTGCTGCTGGGAAGGAGGAGGTCGAGAAAGAGTCTTTTATGGCCTTTGTGGGCGGGCCTAAGACATGTCCCGGTACCCAGCCCTCAGCAGCAGGGGATTGGCTGTCAGCCTGTCGGAAAACAAGGTGCATGTTCTGCTGATTGGTGGCCAAGACTTGGACCAACTCTCCTTCACTGACAGAGATCTCATTCTCTTTGAGAGCTGAGTAGTCTTGAGTGACCCTCATGGAGGAGGAGATGCCATTCGAGCCGTCATCACCATTCTGGGGGGATGGGGGTCACCGGAGGAGAAAGGACAAGGTTAAGGCGGGTTATGGCGGGTCCGACCTGCACAGTCATTTAACCCATTCACTGCCAGCCGTTTTCTGATCAGAAAAGCCCTTCGATGCCAGCGTTTGTCAGCGTTTTCACAGTTTTTTTAAGAGTCACAGAACGTTGCGCACTAGGATGACGTTGACGCCAAAACTAACAAAGTGGAGACTCACCTCTAACATCAGGAAGAATCCACACATTTGAGCGTTATCCGTTGTTTCATAATCCGTTATCGAATTGTGATCAGCAGCTTTTTCTGTTCACGCCTCACTTTTTTTTTTACAGCAGCAGCCCAAAACGATCTCCTAACACATGGATGTTCTGCTTCCTGATCACGTGACCTGTGACGTACGCAGATGAAGATCGGCTTTAGAGCTGGGATGTTTGTTCTCACAGTGTGGGGGCTCGTTCCGATGCCCACACGGTAAAAGAAAAAAAAAAGCCAACGACGACTAAAGACGTCATTAGCAGTGAACGAGTTACCACAGATCATTCTGCAGCGGTGCTGCTCATATTTCATATTGTTCACATCCTCATCAACAGCGTGCATCTTTTTAATTTGCGGTTTATTTAGTAAGACTTGGCTCATGTCGGCGTTAGCTCGTTGTTAGCGCTAGCTACAGCGTTGATTACGACAGTTGTATTTCCACTTTCGGCTGCGCAGTGGAGCAGTGGTTAGAGCTGTTGCCTTGCAGCAAGAAGGTCCTGGGTTCGCTTCCCGGCCTGGGATCTTTCTGCATGGAGTTTGCATGTTCTCCCTGTACATGCGTGGGTTCTCTCCGGGTACTCCGGCTTCCTCCCACAGTCACACCAAATTGTCCTTAGATGTGTGTGTGTGTGCATGATTGTTTGTCCTGTGTGTCTCTGTGTTGCCCTGCGATGGACTGGCTCTCTGTCCAGGGTGTACCCCACCTGACTGCCCATTGACCGCTGCCCTTGTATTTAGTGAATTGTTTTTTTAGTTTTATATGTATTTGTTGTTTTTATTTGTTTTCTTATTTTAGTCTTGTTAAGCATCTTGGTGGCATAACATATGTCTGTAAGAAGCTTTTATAAATAAAGATGATGATGATAAGAGGTCATCTCTGTCCGTTAAAGACGATAAGTTTGTTTCTGAGAACACTTGTTTAATCTGTATTTTATCATTTAGACTTGCAGATATTAACTCATTCACTGCATTTTTTTACTGTGTGGGCGTCGGAACGAGTCCCCGCACCGTGAGAACAAACATCCAAGCTCTTAAGCCGATCTTCATCCATGCACACAATTCGACAACGGATTCTGAAAGAACACATAAAGCTCGAAACGCGCAGATTCTTCCTGATGTAAGAGGTGAGTCTCCTCTTTATTTTGTTGTTTTGGCGTCGACATCATCCTAACGCACAACTTTCTGTGACTCTTAAAGAACTGTGAAAACGCTGAAAAACGCTGGCACCGAAGGGCTTTTCTGATCAGGAAACGGCTGGCAGTGAATGAGTTTAAAGTGCAACCACTTTAAACAACTTTTTTTTCTGGCCGTCGTCAAATTACAATTGTTGGCGCTGTGCTTTTATCTACCAGGAGACACAGCACCCCCAAACTCACTGATAGAATGCAGTAGTCACGCCCTCCTTCCTTTGTTTTGAAAGGAGAAAAACTGACGGAGCCAGCTGGATATGAAATACGTTTCTGTAGAACCTTCCTTCTAAAATGACTGAAACATTAGACTTTTGGGGGATTTTCTCACTGTAAAGTTTCCACCATATTGTTACATACTGCACCTTTAATGCTAGCTGTGTTCAATAAATAAAACTGATGTTCTGAGGGTGAGCTAGTAGTTTGTTTCCGGACAGCAGAAAGACAACATCTAATCTAGATTTGAACATTAGGATTAAGATGTCCCAGCTAGCCAAATGTCTGCTGTGTGGGATCAGAAAAGGTCAAAGACATAAAGTGTGGACAAATATTTCCAAATACACCAGAAAACCTGAATAATGACCAAGTCTTGTTTAAAGTGACTCACATTACACTCAAAGCCTGATGAGCCGACGGTGGAGAACAGACGGTTCCCCGACATCGAGCGATTTCTGCTCAGTGGGAAGCTGCTGCTTACTTTACACTGCTCCTGCTGCTGGTAGACGATGGGAGACTGCAGAGCTGTACACACACACACACACACACACACACGCACACGCACACGCACACACACACACACACACACACACACACACACGCACACATTGTGAAACAGTGTGTTATATGAAAACTTGACATTTTGCTCATTAGTCTGCAAAACAAAAATGTATTCAGTTCTAAATAATGGTAGTTTGCTTACCAGGTGTTCTCTGGTTATTTGGAACACACTCTGTGGTCCCCCTTTTTAAACAGGGGGACCACCACCCCAGTCTGCCAATCCAGTGGAACTGCCCCTGATGACCACGCGATACTGCAAAGTCGTGTCAACCAACACAGCCCAACAACATCCAGAGCCTAAAGGAACTCTGGGCGGACCTTCCACCTCTGGGGCCTTGCCACTGATGAGTTTTTTGATCACCTCAGTGACCTCGGCCCCAGTGATCGGAGAGTCCATCCCAAAGTTCTCAGAATCAGCTTCCTCACTGGAAGGTGTGCCGGTGGGATTGAGGAGGTCTCTGAACTATTCCGTCCTCCACCGATCCACAACACCCCGAGTAGAGTTCAGCAGCACAGCATTACCCTACTGAGACGCCGGATGGTTGACCAGAATCTCCTCGAAACCATGCGGGAGTCTTGCAACAAGTATGCCCACCCCTACTCAGCCCCTCTCAGTGGGAGCAACTCCAGAGTATATAAAACACCCTCACTGAAGTACACTTAAAACCAAGCTGACTAAATTCTAACCTCCATCAATTAGTTTGAGTTGGCACAGAGAGAAACATGATCACGTTAGAAAACAAGGTGTGTGTGTGTGTGTGTGTGTGTGTGTGTGTGTGTGTGTGTGCGTGTGTGTGTGTGTGTGTTTTCTCACCTGACAGGAAGTTGTTCTGAGCATCTAGGATGTCTTGAACGTGTTTGACCCACACCTGCTTGATGTCCACGTTTGCAGCCTGCAGCGTGAAACGCTCAGATGAGCCGCGACACATGAGGACAAATTTACAGGGATCATTATCCACGGTGTCCTCCAGACCCAGGCTGGACACCTGTGAATGTCACATCTTTAAATGTTAATGTGGGTCATAACCGAAAAAACCTGGGAAGCTGTGACCTTTTCTGTTTTGGGATTAAGCTGCATCACTATCGCTACGCTGACCTTGATGCTCTTCTTGAACTGATATCCAGGTGTGGACGAGCCTTTCCTTAGCAGCTCACTGAAGATGACAATCTGCTCGAAGAGGAAAACTCTGCGTTCTTTGGATCGAGACAGGACACCGGCATCCTGCTCAGACACAAAGAAGGTTTCCTGTTGCAGCAGCTTGCCCTGATTGGTCAGTTTCCCCTGCAGAGACAGAGGGTTCACCCTTCATCAGATATGACAGCTCATGGATCATAACCAGTAGGTGTTTAACCTGTTGCTGTACCTCGTATCCCTGCAGCCGACCCAGATTCATCATGTCGTTACACAGCTTAGGAACTTCAGACATGAACTCCACCGCTTTCTGGAAAGCCAGGGAAACATTTAATCTGGTTCCTTGTGAATTTTCAGGTTGCATGTCGTATTCAGGGCACAGGTGTCAAAACAAATGTCTGCACCTTCATCACTTTACCTCAATGTCTTTACAGTCCATTCCTGCTTTAGAGCTATACTTCAGGAAGTCCTGAGAGTACAATGAGAGCCACATTACCACAGCATACCACCCAGAGTGTCTCACACCGCAGGCTCAGTCTGTTTCTAAAGCCTTACCTTCAGCAGCAGCTGGTATTTAGTGATCCTCTGGATGGGCTTAATGAGGAAGTCACTGATGGACAGTCTGGACTGAATGTCCTGCTGGATTCCCTGAAAAACAGTGTAACATTTCTTTTTAATGGTTGCATCAGATTCTTCCGATAATAAATCAGACTGACTCTTAAAACCATCTGAGCAACAACATAACCGTTCAACCTGGACTCAACACGTTGATGTTCTGGTCCTGATCCACTTAGTTCTGACTTAGTTCTGGCCTGGTGCTCCATCAGGCTGGAGAAGACATAGTTCATCACCAAACTTGGATGGTTGGAGGAGTTCCTCTGGGAGGATGTTTAGGTACCTTTCTTTATCATGGATGTTCTGAAGCTAAACTGTGAGTGACTCCACTTCCTAGGAGACTCGGGATGCTTTTATTCTGGAGGGTACAGGCCTCTTAGGAGTTTTCATCTTCTCTAGAAGCACCAAACATCCAGAAAGGATCCATCAGAGAAGAAGACTTTTCTCTAGTCTCCAGCAGTCCACTTCCTGGACCTCCAGCAGGACATTGGTCTGTCCCTGGTGGCTGTCTCGGAGATAAGAGGCTTTTTTGCTGCCCGTCTTGACACCAGATCATCCTCCATCATAAAAACTGTTGTAACAGACTTCGTGTCATTCTCTACCATTTGATGTTTTACTTACATTTAAGGTTTCATGTGAAGTTCTGAGTGACAACTGTTAAAATGTGGGCGGAGCCAACATAGTCATGGGATTGTTGTAGCGTACCAAAGGGCCAGGTTTTTCTTCAAAAATGACCAGAAGTTCAACTTACAGGCCAAACTTCTTCATACATGTGAATCTGCCACCGTAGTGCCGATATGAAGAATTGACCTTGAGCCAATATTCTTAACTAATCCTGCGTACCTCACAAGTCCTCAAGGCAGCAAGACGCAGGACTTCTTAACTTTTACTCTGAATATAGCTCATCTTTCTCAGCTCATAAATGACTTCAAAATTTCATATAATTATAAATGAATGAACAGTTTGTTTAAATCCAAAGTGTTTGAACAACGTGTCCCATTCTTTAGATTAGTGAATGATGAGTTAAAATGAATATTTTTCCTATAATGATTTATTTCAGGTCTTTAACCACACCAGAACAGTGGTTTTTTAAATAATAATTTCATCTATCGGTATGAACATAATGATATAATATTATTAGTAGAGTTTAACATTTTTGCACCACATAACTGTTATAACATTTTCACCTCACAGTAAGAAGAACTTCTAAGTATCTGAGTGAAGGAGCGATTTTCTGAGGTATTTGTTTATGCCCTTTAAAACTTGTCAAACTCTGATTTGTCTAAATTTGTCAACAACAGTTAATAAAAGGTTAGTTCACTTCCTGATCTAACCAGTTCTTCGCCAGCTTACTCAGTAGGCCAACCGGGTAAGCAAAGCACTTGGGACCATCCTCTCTTTTGACCTCAAGGTCACAGCCGCTCTGCAATGCTTGCAGGTGTATCAGATACTACAAAACCTCAGATGTGGAACGTCTAACTTGCAGACCCTGGTAGCATCTCAAGGCCTGTGATATCTGAACTCAAAGGGAGCTGCAACTCCGAGATTCGAGGAGCCACTCCATCTGGTGACATCACCAATCTGGCTGCCTCTTCCCCGGACCGCTCAAGAGCTGCCGTCACACAAGGGGTATCATAGACTCTGCACGATGGTGTCGGATTGTTTTCAGGATAATCTATAGCTTGTTAAACCATACCGTCAGACTGATTTTACAACCCAGACATCACAAGATGTCTCAGATACTTAATAAGGTTTTGCTACAAACATCTACCTTACATTGCATCATTTCATTCATACTTTGTCTTGTGTAATCAATAGTTTAGAAAATAGAACTAAATTCATTTTTACAAACTTTACTCTGTCTCTGAAGTGTGTGTTCCCTGAATAGTCCAAAGAACCTAGAATAATATTAAATCAAATATTCAAAGACCAACCAGATTGATAATTCATATTTATATGGAACATCACATCTTATTCATCCTTTAACAAATGTGGCTAATCCACATCGCTACATCACGGAGATGTTGTGTATCACCATTCTGTGTGCAAACAATGCTTTTGCTTAAATTACCACCATTAGAGGCGAGACCCCCCCAACAAAGTCACCAGGTATAAATATAAAAACTTACGTCAAAGTACGAATCGTATTCTGCTACAATGTACTCCGACTTGGGTTTGTTCTGGCAGTAAGTCACATACATGTACATTCTTCTCTCCTGCAACACGAACAAGAGGCGTTCAGGCAGCAAATCACCCATCAGGTAAACATACCGTAAACATCTTCATCACTCACGTGTCTGATGAACAGCTCAGCAAGGAGTTCATGATCGTTCAAACATTTTTCCAGCTCTCCTACAAAGAAACTGAGACAAACAGGAGGAAGGTCAGTCAGCAGGAGCAGCGTTTCAGAGGTAAGAGACAGTCCAGACTCACTCTCTGTGCCAGTCGTAGATCTGGTGGATGTTCCCAAATACCATTTTATCTTTTCCCTTCATGTCATCGGGAACACCTTTCTCCTCTATGCGCTTCATGAAGCCCTGAAAAAAAACCCATCTTGTTTGACAACAAGATTCTGTTTCCTTCACCACATAAGGTTAAAGTCTCACCTCCACCACGACACCCAGGTCTCTGACATAGTCCTTCTCCGTCTGAATCAGCTCATTCAGAACAAACCTGAGTGGAAAAGAAGCAGCAAACAGACCCATGAGACACATCACCACAGCCAAGATCGTCTGTTGGTCACTACGGTGCAGAGGAAACCAGGCTGAGCTGCAGCTCTCACATTCGTCCTCTCATCGCTTTGGCTCTCTGTTCCAGTTCCGGGTTCCGCGGCTGGACCGGAGTGCTCTGCTCTGGTGGAGATTGAGATGGGAAGCCCTGACATGCTCCAGGCTCCGTGGGCTAAAAGCAGGACATCAGATTACCTCAGTTAAACAGTAGTTCAAGAGGTATTCACCAACGTGTACAATGTGTTTCCTGCCAGCAGGGGGCAGCAGCACCAAAGCTTCATTTGTTCTTACTGGGAAAGCTCAGCTGGTCCCCAAGCAGAGACTCAACCTTATCACACACCAACTGAAACACTGATAGTCAGTCTGGGACCCAATGTTCCTTCAAGACTCCACGGGCTATTTCCAATTTTCAAAACACGAACTTTACAGTAGAAAATTAAACGGCATTTTGTCGTAAAATTCTGGGAGCAACAAAACTGCAAAACAAGACGAGTGTTATGCTTTTGAAAAGTAAAAGTTCACACAGATAATGAGAGAAGAGAACAGACGGGTTTTCCACAACATAAAGAACGGCCGGAGCAAACACCAGACGTAGAGATGTGGACATGTTGTTACAGACTGAAAACTGACCACCAATCCATCATGTTCATCCCCTAAAAGCAAGCGGATCAGCTTGGGGGGACACCAGGATGCTTTATGTGGCTGACTGTAGGATCTGATCAGATCTACTGAAAAAAACCTTGACCCAAAAATAAAATGTCTTTTCATGACGTGTTTGTGGGAGTTTGCTTTTGACCTGCACCCCACACCCAAAGCAACAACTACTGCAGAGCCCAACGTCTCACACACAAAGAAGCAACAAAGAAACAAGCTGCGTTCAAGTCAACAACTCACCATGTTGGTTTTAACCAGTTTTTCTATGGCACTAACCAGCTCTGCAGCACTGGGCGCCTCAGAAGACGACTGCAGAGATGTTAGCAAGGACTTGGAGGGGAACAGAGGACAGAAGGAGAGAACACAAGGAAAGTTACAGCAAAGCCAGATAAAAGCAGAAACAACAGTCAGAAACAAAAAGGAAGTGCTCATCTGAACTATCCTGCATCAAACAGACTAAATCCTAACGTGTGTCTCAGAATATTTAGGAGTGAAACAAAAGATGAGCAGAAATGATGAATTTAGGTGCAAACCACCTCAGAGGGACAACGGATGTAAGCAAACATGTGGACAGACACTCAGAACCTCTGTTACCTTGTCATCCTGAGCTGAGGGGTTCTCAATTATCTTCATGGGGGGAGGAAGAGGAAGGTGCGGCTCATCCTCCTGTTCCTCCTCCCCTCCGCTCTGCATCCCAGAGGGCCCTTTAGATAGCGGGTTTGAGTCCTTACTGCTGACTCTCTGAGGGAGGAGACAAAGATGTTGATGAGGAAACACTGCTGACTGATTTGTCCACAGTATTAGGTGAGTTTATACTTCAGGCCAAACCGCACTAGGATGCCATAAGTCTTCAGACCCAGCTTGAGGGTCTAACTTCACAAGGCATCCCTTAAAGGCATGCTACGCACCTTTTTTGTATTTTTAATAATTTTCTTGAGCCAGTACGTGCTAAAATGACCCTTTACAGGGTAATGAAAAGTCTGTCAGCCCCCTCCATCCCCTGTAGGCAGGCAAATAGTAAAGTGGATAGCCGACATGCTAGCGCTGCAGTCTGCTTCCAGCATTGCATGTTTTAAATCATGGACACAGCCAATTTGTTTCATTTAGTGATGAATCACTCCTGTTCACAATAATGGTGGCTGGGGAGATTTTTCAGCAGTTGGATTAAGGTAGGGTGACCGTATTACAGGAGAGCTGTGCCTACCGATGACGTCGCACTACGGCAATGCCACACAAACCACGTTAGGACCCATTTCTTTCCAGGTGAATAGCTGAAATTAATATCAGATTCTGCCAACAAACAGGCTCTAATACAAATCATATGTAAATATTTCCATCCATCCATTTCCTGAACCCGCTTTGTTGACGCGGGGTCGCTAGTGCCCATCTCCAGCGGTCAACAGGCAATCAGGCAGGGTACACCCTGGACAGAGAGCCAGTCCATCGCAGGGCAACACAGAAACACACAGGACAAATAATCATGCGCACACGCACACACACACACACACACACACACACACGCACACGCACACGCACACACACACACACACACACACACACACACACACACACACACACACACACATCCACCCCTAAGGACAATTTGGTGTGACTGTGGGAGGAAGCCGGAGTACCCGGAGAGAACCCACGCATGCACAGGGAGAACATGCAAACTCCATGCAGAAAGATCCCAGGCTGGGAAGCGAACCCAGGACCTTCTTGCTACAAGGCAACAGCTCTAATCACTGCACCACTGTGCAGCCCATATGTAAATATTTAGCATATTTATTGCAAAATCTCATTTTTATGCAGCTTTAGTGCTGCAACAATGTTTTATTAATAATAAATTATTATACCTTTAGTTTTACTACAGCATCGGTACACTTCCTGTGCACAGATTGTTAAGGATGCTTGTTTCAGCTGTGAGATTAGACGATAGGGGCAACGATTTAAAAAAGTATGTCATGGAAACTTTCGGAGAATCCACATTTATTGGCTTTCATATGGTTTTATTACTGACAAATTTTGGTGAGATTAGAAAAGAAGCAGGTGACACGGCGTGTCCGCCAATTTTGTTTATCGTCGGGGGGTGGGGGGGTGGGGGGGTGTCAAGCCAAAACTGCAGAATCTTCATGTAACCCTCAGGCTTCACTTTGTTACCACCCTCCTGTGACCTTAGAAGACATGTAAAAATGTAAACATTCATATTACAGAGATCTGTTAAACAACTTCAGTCCTGCTCCAGTCTATAAAAACTTCAGTCATTTTGAGAATGTTAACCCTTCAAAATCTTTGATTACTCAATGTCATTGCTACAATTTATAAAGAAAAAACCCACAAAAACATTTTAATTGTTTTTGTTTTCTACACCTTGAAGTTCAGTGAGAGAGAAACTGCTTTTTTTTTACTGATGTGAGGTCAGGTTGACCTTTTGACTTCATTACAAACAGCAGAAGATCTAAAAAACAATGTTTAGACTCTTGTCTGGGCCTTATATGGAGAACTGAATTTATGTTTGTTTATGTTTATGTTTATTTATTTAGCAAACACTTTTATCCAAAGCGACTTACAATTAATAACCTATAGGGCATGTTGTGATGTGTGGGGGAAACCAGAGTACCAGGCGGAAACCCACGCATGCATGGGGAGAACACGCAACTCCACGCAGAAAGGCCACAGCCGAGTTTCGAACCTGCAACCTTCGTGCTGTGCGCCGGAGACCTAAAACCTTTTGTTTTGTTGGTGCGGCTTATATTGAGGTGCGCTCTATAGTCCGGAAATTACGGTACTCCTGTCACACAGAAAGAGGAACTCCGTGTGTTTACTTTCCATTATGTAAATGGAGATCAACTGCTGAGCTTCAGGATGCCGAGGACCAGTCAGATATGATGCTCTCTTCATGTTCAGCTTGAATACATTCAGAGTGGAGGTTTGGTTTTGTGTATGGGTGGGGTTTATCTTGCTTGGGTGGTTTAAGCTGCAGCGAAGGTCATTCAGGTCATTTGGGTCTGACTTCAGCTAAAATTGTTTGTGCTTACCTCATCAGTGTTGTCATCCTGCTTACTGCTTTCATCTCGGCCTGAACCTGGTCCTGCAAAGAAAGAGACGAGGGCATTCAGATGAAGACGTGACCTTTCAGTAGGTCTCAGCTGGTTCTGGTTCTAAAGATGCGCTTAAATGGATCTAAACTCATGAAGCAGATTAGACCAGAGCTACACTTCCCACCATCTCACCTGGCTTCTTCGGTTTATTGTTGGGGAGCTTTTTGATGGAGCTGCCTTGGCCGAGGCGGCGGACGGGACTTGTCAGCCATTTTCTTAGAGTGTTTCCAGAACGTCTGGGACCAGGAGCGCTGGACTGCAGCGAGTTGAGGGAGGGCTGTGGCTGCAGGTTTGCCACAGATTCACTCTTCCCCTCAGAGCTGCTGACATGGTAGTTTTCTGAAAGACAAGGAGAACCCTCTGTCATACGAGGAACAAGTGATAATAAAAAGAATAAAACTCGATGATGTGCAGTAAAGTCCTGGCGTCTGAGCTGCCATCTGCTGACTTTCACGTTAAGCTGAACATTTCCATTTCCTCTGGATTTTGTGTAACTGCTGACATCTTCAAAGTTGTCATGTCTCAATGGCCAAGCTAACTATGATGTCGTAGATACAGCAGGTATATCAGAGATGTGTAGAATAATCAGCACCACAGGGAGGATCAGGAAGGTCCTCACTAAAGCTTCATTCTCAACTTTCAGAACATCAAGAAAATGAACTGGTCCTAATATCAGTGTTTGGATTTAACACTATAATGGCGCGGCTGGGGACCAGCTCTTGTGTGTGTGTGTGTGTGTGTGTGTGTGTGTGTGTGTGTGTGTGTGTGTGTGTCAGCAGCAGTCATGCGTCAGGTGGATCAGCTGCCCTCACACAGCTCTGGGCTGTCTGAGTGGATCCCCTAAGATGCTGCTAAAATGTGAATTCTTTCAAACTTTAACATAGTTCTTTATAAATAATTATTTACGGAAGAAGAAGAAAAGGAAGAAGAAGAAAAAGAAAAAGAACAGGAAGAAGAAGAAAATGAAAAGGAAGAAGAAGAAGAAAATGAAAAGGAAGAAGAAAAAAGAAAAAGAAGAAAAAGAAAAGAAAAAAAGAAAAGGAAGAAGAAGAAAAAGTAAAAGAAAAGGAAGAAGAAGAAGAAGAAGAAGAAGAAGAAGAAGAAAAGGAAGAAGAAGAAAAAGAACAGGAAGAAGAAAAAGAAAAAGAAGAAAATGAAAAGGAAGAAGAAAAAAGAAAAAGAAGAAAAAGAAAAAGAAAAAAGAAAAGGAAGAAGAAGAAAAAGTAAAAGAAAAGGAAGAAGAAGAAGAAAAAGAAAATGAAAAGGAAGAAGAAGAAGAAAAAGAAAAAAGAAAAAGAAAAGGATGAAGAAGAAGAAAAATAAAAGGAAGAAGAAAAAGAAAAAGAAAAAGGAAGAAGAAAAAGAAAGAGGAAGAAGAAGAAAAAGAAAAAGAAAAGAAAAGGAAGAAGAAAAAGAAAAAGAAAAGGAAGACGAAGAAGAAAAAGAAAAGGAAAAGGAAGAAGAAAAAGAAAAAGACGAAAAAGAAAAGGAAAAGGAAGTAGAAGAAAAAAGAAAATGAAGAAGAAGACGACGAAAAAGAAAAAGAAGAAGTATATGTAAAGTATAACAAAGCACAGATGCTGACATGCTCATTGTTGCTGATGACGATCCTCAGCCTTCCTCCCATTTATGAGACGTTTCCTGATATCAATGAAAAGTGCTGCTGAGAAAACATGTCAGGGTCAACATTTCAGCTGTGTGTGTGCGTGTGCATGTGCGTGTGTGCGTGTGTGTGTGTGTGTGTGTGTGTGTGTGTTTGTCCACAGAGACAACAGAAGCCTGACCAGAACGTCTCCTCCTACAGAGACGGAGCTCCACCCACCTCTGGGGAAAAGTGCGAGGAGGAGGAGCATATTCCGTAATAATTATCATGTTTCTTTACAGTTTTAACCCGTTCCCCACCAGCTCCAACTAGCAAACACCTCCATCACCTCAAATTCAGGCGTGGTTTGATCAGGTGAATCCTGTCTGGTTTTATTAGAAGATTAAATGTTTTTAATTTTTTTCACTCTCAGACATTCGTAGAACCGTTGAATGTGTTCCATCTCAGCAACACATGATGTCAGAGTGGAGCTGAAGCATCCTCATGGCCCTGAACAGCGACAGCTTTGTGAGGTTTACAGGGACTGGAAGCGTTTGTTTGGAATAAGCCACCTGAGACAGGTGCACCCCTCCACTAGATCCAGATGTTTTTAGTATTTGTAAAAGGAAAACTCAGATTTTGGACAGAAACACTGGATCGTTTTGCACATAGAAATGTTCTGTAATCGAACCGGAATGACTCGTCGTCACATCAGAACTCTAAACCACCCATGAAGGGTCCGACTCCAGTTTAGCTTTTATTATTGTCCCAATTAATGATTGAATATGAAGAGCAGAGATACAACATTCCACTGGTCCCAATGACTGAGGGACTCAGACGCTGCCCCCATTTGAACAGTGAGTACTACAGCTGTAGTACTCAGAGTGTAGTACTCAGCCAGTTGGGTCAGAGCCAACAAAGGAAGCTTTTGTTCTGCAGCCACAGAAAGACAGAGAGTCTACTGTTAAAAGTAACATCACTCACAATCTTAATCACGAACACAAAAGCACACACACACACGCACGCACACACACACACACACACATGGAATGCACTCACACACACAAACATGAACACACACGCAATGCATGCACGCACGCATGCACACGTACACACACACACACATGGAATGCACTCACTCACACACACGAACATGAACAGACACGCAATGCATGCACGCACACACACACACACACACACACACACACACACACACACACACACACACACACACACACACACACACACACACACACACACACACACACACACACACACACACACACACACACACACACACACACACACACACACACAGTGAACCTGTATTTACTGAACCACATTCCTCGGAATGCAGAAGGAGTTTTTGTGGCTACACTTGGCTTGTGACCCGCCCCCCGCCCTCACCCCCACAGGCCTATCTGTCACTGACAGGAAAAGACAGTAATCTGGGCTGATGACATTCCTCTCATTCCTCCCTCTTCCCTGCGCTGTACGTATCCGATACAAACTACAGTGGCTCTTAGAGAAGGAGGAACAGCAGCCACTCAAAAACCCAGTCAGCAGGTTCCTTTCTCACTCGTCACTCACATGGAAGTGAAGTCATACCGGGGTGTGATGATGGAGCTTCAAAATCAAGATCACATGCAGTGAGCCCTTCTACCCGGCAGAACCACGGCCAACACGCCTCTGATCTCCAGTTTGCTGCCTGCTAAGTTACATTTTTAGTCAGATGCTCTTTACTCCCAAAGAACAACCCATCGAGTGTAAATATGCACACACTGGTAAAGTTACAGCTTGTAACAATACGATCAGTAAGTAAGATGATTATAAACTGTTCAATGGTTCCTGAGCCATAGATAACTAAATGATAAATGAGCCACACTGGTACAGCGCCTCTCAGAGTCACAGGACTCCAAAGCGCTTTACACTACAGTGTACCATTCGCCTATTCACACATACATACGACCACCACCGGCAGCTGTGGTGGGTAGTAGGAATGAACGATTTTAGGAAAAGATTGAATTGCAATTTTTCTAGCAGAAATTGCGATCTCGGTTCACTTCAACGATTTTCTGCAAACAAAGGTCCAACACTAGCCTGCCAAGCCATCCTGTAGATGAAGTGAAAAGATGGTCTAGATTCTAATCTAGCACAACAAATCATTCACATTAACATTTACTATTTAATCATACAATAAAAACAGTTAAAGCTATTCATATTCTCTCCCACTATTATATATTTTTTATGTTTTAATGTGTTTGTGAAGCAACTTGTGATTTTATCTAGAGAGGAGATTTATAAAAACATAGTAGTTTGTAGAAAATTGCTGCTCCCAAAAGGAACAGGATATACATTACAGGACGATTCGGTCGTGGTAGAAGTGTGAACATTTTTAAACTACACTTAAATGCAGATTATAGCACTTAAAGTCTGTATGATGCATAGATCATTTAGTTTAACTTTGATGTTGTTTATATAATGGAATTGAATTGAAGTTCTGACCAACATCACATTCACACATAGGTTCCAGACATCACCTTTAGTTCCATCCACTCACAGTAAATAATAGTTAACCACTTTGTCAAGTTTTAATTGTAAAATAAATTCTTACTTTTGTAAACCTGACTGTTTCCTGAATCTAAAGGAAGTGTGTACAATCCCCTAATGAATAAATACTCCTAGAATCTTCTGATTAAACACAGAAAAGACCAGGCAGGGTTGATATTTTATATTTAGATAGAGTATCACAGCTTAATGGTCACAAGCAGAGGTAAAACTGAGCTAAAGTACTCCGTTTACCTAACCCTGTTATGTCTTCTTATATCTGACATGATAACATATCAGCAAAAACATGCAGAGTCCAGAGTCTCCAACTGCTGAGGAGACAAACACTTAGGGCACCAGCTAAACACCAGGTGGAAACATGCTGCTCAACATTTTCAGGCCCTTTCCAATTGGTCTTGGGACCACCTAAGATGGGCCATGTTATGGGTATGGTATGATGATGGTGGAGAACAGTTTCACTCAAACCAGTTCAGGTACATTCTGATCATAACTTCAGTCTCTGAAGTGATGTGCCGAAGTCCAGGGTCTGAGCTGAGTTAACATTTAGCTACACAAAAGTACACACACACACACACACACGCACGCACGCACACACACACACGCACGCGCGCGCGCACACACACACACACGTACATGTCCATGGGTTTTACCAACTACTGACTGGCTAACGACCAACATGCAGCGCTCATGTCAGTCCTGACAGACTCTCTGAATGAAAGACACTATTATTAAAAAGTAAACGTGGTGAACTGCTTCGTACCAGCTGAGTTTCAGATTTCAGACTACACAACATCATTTAATCTGATAAACAGACACAACCAGTCCTGTAACTGTAGTTTTCTGAGTGCTGGACACACCTGAAGGACTCCATACTAACTAGGAGTCTCCAGAGCTCCTCTAAAAACACATCTGGCTCAGGAACAAAGGCCAGCTTTAAGGAGCTGCTGACTGCTCCAATGCAGCTGTGTCAGCGTCAGCAGACACAGCTCACAGATTCCAACTCACACTCAGACAGTTAATGCCATCTTCATCAGGAATTAGAAGACTACATGAAGTTTCAAATGTTTAAAAAACCTCCGCCATGAAAATAAAGTAAACAAACCCGCATGAAACCTCTAACTGTTCCAACCACAGCTTCCTGCACTAATCCGAATAAAAAAAATTACCAAACAAAAGAAGCTAAAAAGTG